ATGAGCCCCACACAGGTGCCTGGGGCATCCCCTGCAAAAGTCCCAAGCCCATATTTGGATTCAAACTGGCTTTTCCAATGGTTGAGAGGGAGTATGGACCTCACCTTTCCTGACTAGCCTAGAGGATCATCAGGAAGGGACACCAGACTCTCCATGGTCCAGAGGTTCTTCTCTGACTTGCGTCGTCATTTCTGATGTGTGATCCCACAGAGGTCACACCAAAGGCCAATCCCCTTTGTGGTAGCCCTTCTCAGAACTGAGCCCCAGGGGGTGGGTACGGTCAGTCTCCAATTTGAATTGGGTAAATTGGCCAAATGCCAAATTGGCTTGGGCCAATTTACTTAAAACCACTTTCATTTGCTTAATCTCAAGCTGCTTTGGGTGAGTGCTTGAAGCGTCTTCTGACCGCTCCATCCACAGGTCTTTCTGATTTCCTCTGTAATTGGTGTACACCTCTATTACACCTGCAGCTTTGTGAAGGAAGGTGGTTTGTTTCGCTTGGTTGTCCTTTTATCCTCATTTTATCTACTTAGGAACATTCTGAGGATCCTTTGCTAGAGCGTCTAAAAGGTTGGCAATTAGATTGACTGTGATGCAGCATTTCATTGGAGTTCTACCTGCGTCCCTTGGCCTGAAGATGCTTTCAGCAGGACAGAAACCACAGAGGGCTGCCCTTCTAAACCAGGGGTGGGAAGCTTTCACTGTAAAGGACCAGATGGCTAATATTTTAGGCTTCACAGGACATCTGGCTACTGTTTCAACTACTCAATTTCTGCCATGGTAGCAGAAAAGCCACGATAGACAACATCATATGAATGGAGGTGACTGGAGGTGTTCCCACAAAACTTTATTAACAGGCACTGACATTTTAATTTTGTGTGATGTTCCCATGCCCAAAATATTACTTTTGATTAAAAAAATTTTTTTTAAACAGGCAAACTATTTTTAGTTGGAGAACTACACAAACAGGGCTCACAAGCTTTACTGTGCTGAACCTTGTTCTGAACCCCAAATGAACCCAAGGGTGACACTAGCCAGGATCTAGTCAAAAGTGATTTTTTTTTTAAAGATTTATTTATTTGTGCATACAGAACTGGGGTACAGGCCAGAGATGCAGAGGGTGAGAGGATTCACCAGAGACAGAGTGGGGAGCAGAACAGGCAGATCGACGAAGTACACTGCTGAGGGGAGCAGCGGGCGGGTCAGGAGAGGTCTGCCGCGCCATGTGGTCACCTCCGGGGCAGGCGGGAATCGAACTCATGCGGAAGCGGCTTTAGATTCTCAGTGCTGTGCTTTAACCCGCTGCGCCACCAGGGAGGGCCAAAAGTGATTGATTTTTTAAAAATTTATTTGTGCATACAGAACTGAGGGACAGGCCAGAGGCTCAGGGGCGGCGAGAGGCTTCACCAGAGACACAGAGGGGAGCAGAATAGGCAGTTCGACGAAGTCCACTGCTGAGGGGAGCAGTGGGCGGGTCAGGAGAGGTCTGCTGCGCCATGTGGTCACCTCTGGGGCAGGCGGGAATCTAACTCATGCGGAAGTGGCTTTAGCTTCTCAGTGCTCTGCTTTAACCCACTGCGCCACCAGGGAGGGCCCAAAGTGATTGATTTTATAAGCAAATATGGGTCAAGCAGCTGCTTTCTTTGAGGGTCTGGGCAGCAGAACGCCCTAGGGTCAGCACTCAGAGACTATAGCTCAAACCCTACTCCAAGAGGGTGGGAGACAGGGTGATGGGGAGCTCATATTGGCTGGAAGAAAGCCTACAAGTGCTCCAAAGAAAAGGTAGAAACAAAGGCCTGTAGAGGCTTTGCATACCCTGCATTAAAGTTAAAATCTAATTTAGGTGAAAATGGATGTATAGAAATTAAACGTGCATGCGAGGCTTTTGTCATTAAGTTGTGTACCCCGTAACGATAGCTTTACCAAATTTATTCCCTTGGCTTGCAAATAAAGATGCTTTTTGAAATTTGATTTTGTTGTTTCACAAATTGTTTTAGCTTTGTGAATAGTGCAAACTCCATTTCTGATTGGCCTCAAAACAAAAATAGAGCATTAAAGTGTTTAAGATTCAATCAAAGGCTTGCTGTGAGCGGCACAATATTAAAATAACAGAAAAATCAATTCAATTTTTATTTTGAACATGATTTGTCACAAATAGCATTCTAATAGATAACACTGATTATATGGTAGCAAACATCATTTATATATACTGAGCTCTGCGCCTTTGTCGGAGACATCATTAAGGAATTTGACACATATGAAGGAGAACAATAAATGTCAACTGAAATATATATCAGTTAGATATAAATGGGATGCAGAGTGAATGATGCTGGCAGATGCTATACTTATAAGTAATAATATGCAGTCTAAAGTAGCTTGCGTTTTCAAACAAGAACTCTCTTTATGTTGTCATTTAAAATATCTCATATTTCCGAAGGTCAGGAATAAATGGCACTATTAGCATTAAAAGCTAGTAAAAGAAAAAGTAATTCGTTGTTCATTTAACAGAACATTTTGCAAAATGGTTTTGTAAAGTGTTCTTTTTTCCCTCCTTCTGCAGGCAGAGAAGACAGGACGAAGCTGGCCCTAGGGGAGGGCTTTTACTGCATCTTTGTTACTGATAACATCTTGATTCAGTGAGATGGTTGTGAAATTACCTGGCTTGTGGTTGGCCAGTAAACGCTAAGAAATGAAGCTCAAAAGAATCACGTTAGGAAGTTAACACTGACTCTGTAGCTGGTTTCCAGGTTGGACAGAAATGAGCCCTGATGGAACGTTTCTACTTAAATCTCCTTAGGTATGTGGGTGGGTGGGGATTAAAAAGAGATCCCAGGTGTGAAAGTACATTGAGTTTACCAGCAAGTTCCTTTTATTTTAAGCTCCTTTTTATACAGAACATTTGGTTGTCCAGTGTGGTTTAAACCCAAATAGTTCTTCCATATTCAGAGTGGCATTCAGGTAGGTTTGCATGCTATAAAATGGCATTCAGGTAGGTTTGCATGCTATAAAACGCCTCATGTTAATCATGTATATTATGTTGAGTGCCATTTCCAGGAACAACTCAAATAAATATTCAGTCAAAAAAAAAAAAAAAACGAAGCTGTCTACTCCACCATCACCTCGGCTGGCTCCTTGTGCCCTGCGGCCGGCTGTGACCTCCCTAGTACTGCAGGGAGGACAGCTTGGTCCTCGGGAAGTGTCAAGACTGTCAAAGGCCGAAGATGGGGGATCTGAGGTGACAGACACAGGTGCCAGAGAGGGAGCGGAGAGGATTTTGCTCTGCAGCTCAGAGAGACCAACAGCAGATAACTCAGGATTTAATCAGGTGCCCTCATAGAAACTCACTCTGTCTCCTTTCACCTGAGACCCCAACTTCCCGCCAGATCCTGAACTTCCAAATACTGGAAACCTCATCCTTCTGAGCAAGCCTCTCCGCTTCCCCAGAGTTAATCAGTCAATTAGTTAATCTCTCTCCATCTAAAGCTACCCTCAAAATAACATTAATAAAACCTTTATAACCTGCCCCCTGGAATTAGCAAAGATGAGTCTCTTTTCATATTTACTTTGAATCCTTTTGTACCGAACAATAAATATGATGTTACTGACAAAGGATTCTAAATGTCTGGATTCTGGTGTTTTGTGCTACATTCATAGCGAGTAGTAGTATTTGGGGAATGAGAAGTCCACAAATGGTCATTTCTATATCAAAATGGTGTTCTCCTGGCACTTGCTTTTCTCAAGATGACTTTTGGGGGACCCACCCATTTGATATGCATATACCCTTGTTCAGTTGTTTTCATTGTTAAAGTTACTTTTGGACAAATCGATGATGTAGATTCGCTGTTGCTTTCCATCCTATTCCTACCATTACAGTGAAAGTGAATCCCAAATATTTATTACTCAGGGTTGTCTTTGTGCCCTGCCTGCTGGGATGAGAAAGTAGGAGCCCACGGGCAAACCTGCTGGTCCTTCAAGAGAGCCACCTGCACATGATCTGGCATTTTAAAGTCTTCCTGGCAACGCCTCGGCTCCTCTTTGCTCCTTGTTGTGCCAGGGTAGGCTCTCTAGCAACTTGGGCAGACAGAGAATCCTGGTGCCCTCAGTGGCGTTTTCAGGCTTTCATGCGTTCTCTGCACCAATTGTTGTGGGGCAAGCCTGCAGGTTGGCAAGGCAGGGAGGCTGGAGGTGGGGAAGGTGCAGGAGACTGGCAGGTCTCCTAGCCTCGCGCAATTCTTTAATCTCTTTCTCCTTGGGCTGTCTCTGGCCTGCTTTCCTGGTCTCTTCCTCTTGTAGAAGAGCTCTTTCTCTTTAGTTATTATATATTAGGCCACCCCCAGATCCCCAGGCCCAGCAGCGTACACCCATGCACGCCCACACCACCCTCCAGGTGCCCACCATCAGGCAACCATGCCCTGTGCCCACAGTCTCAAGTGCCTTCTGCATCAAGGCTGCAGGTGATATTCACAGAGGCCAGTAGCATACAAACCTGACCAGTTCATTTACCTTGTACTCCTCCATCCCAGCAGCTCCGGGCCAAGAAGTCAAGGGGTCGACCAGAAAGCTCCACCTTTCCCGTTAAGCTGGACTCCAACAAAGTGGGCTGGGTCCTGCCGCAGGCTGGGGAGGGGGCTCTGGACCAGGAAGAGAGGCCTGGTGACCCAGTCGGGTGGGGTACAGCTGCTGCCAGCAACTTGGCCCTGAGAGCCTGGAGGTGGCCAGGTTCACTTCAGGCAGGCCCTCAGGGTGGCCACAGCCTCACTCCAGCAGGCCTGTGAACTCAACCAGCACCCGGAGAAACTTAGGCACTTGCCTCTCCCTGGCAGGGCAGGGGTGGAGGCAACTCTCCCTCCGTGTCAGCCCTGCCTGCCTGGCACAGAGGTTTTTCCTTCCAACACCAGGAGGGCTGGTGAGGGGGTTCGGGCATCCCTGGGACCGAATTCTACAATTCCAAAAGCTCTTTAGACATGTGACCCGTGAAGAATATAAGCGGACACTCATTGTCAAACCAAGGGCATTAAACATTTATTACCACAGAGATATGAGAGCAGCACCACATTTTTAACAGGGCTGAAGAGACTGCAGGACATCCTCTTTCACAGTGTCACTGCTGCAAAATTTATACCTGTGGAAGAAAACATTTTCAGCGTGAGGCAGGCTGCCTGGTGGAAATGCAGCCTCAAGTGGGTCAAGAGCATTACGGCAACTCCAGGCATACAGATCCCTTTGACTGAAACGCTTCGCCACAACAGGCAGAGCTCAGGTGAATCTTACTAAGCAAAATCATTCAAAGAACATCCTCCCTCTTGTGTTCTTTTACTGAGCTGAGAGTGAATCAGCTGCATGAACCTGCAAGGCTTCATTTACAAAATGGCAGGTGTCCAGTGGGCGTGGTTATAGGTTCAGGGGCTGCCCAGAGCCAATGTTCCCTACAGGGTAGGATCATGGGGGAGCTTACCCACATGCTGTTTCTAGGAATGTGACATGTGGCAGCCATTTTGGAAAAGTCTAGCAGTTTCCCGAAAGGTGTTTAACCATAGAGTTACCAGATGACCTTAAATTCTGCTCCTTGGCACATACTTAAGAAATGAAACCTATGGTCCCTTACGAGCCTGTTCAAACATGTTGATAGCAGCATCATTCACAATAACCCCCAAGTGGAAACAACCCCATAAATCCATCCACTGAGAGACAGGTGAATATCTTTATAACAGAATATTATTTGATAACAAAGGAAGGAAGTACTGGTTGGGCTATTGTAGGGGTGACCCTCACAAGTGTCTTTGCCTCCAGGCTCAGCTTCAGAGGGTGGAGTGAGGACTTTGGTGTTCAAGATACAGTACATAGTGTGTGAGCTGTACTGTGCTTATTTCAATCCCCACACCCATCCCCACCTAACTGCTGTGAAATCACAGGTCATTCCACCCTCAGAATTTAAGGAGTCCTCAGGCCACACCCCTGTGTGTGAGTCAGACAGACCCCAAGCAAGAGGACTGGGCTGGATGCCAGGAGCCTGGGTGAAGTCCTTGATGCACAGCAAGGTCCTGCTCTGTCCAGGATATAGCTAGTAACACACAGTGACCTGAGGTCTGACCCACCCCAAAGAGGGCAGAGGCATCAGGGTTACCATTCACACTCAGCATTTAAGTCAGCAGGTGAGCAAGAGCTTGGTATGTAGTTTTGGAGACCAATATTCTTCTGCTAGCTTCCCTACATGGCTGCAGACAAATTACTCAACTTTTCAAGTCGCCCTTTCCTCATCTTCAAATGAGAACAGTTGAGAGGTGATGGCAAAATTGCCTCCAACGTGCCATTACATTTTGATTATTCCTTTCAAGGCTGCCTTTCTTTCCATATTCTAAATGCAGCTGTGTCCTCTCTGGACTCCTACCAAGGAAGACTCGACTTCCTCAGGATGAGAAGAATAAGCTAGACCCCAACATAGTCAATATCCCTCTCCCGCCATAGTCTCCAAACAAACCAATTTACATTAACAACTGCACTCAACTGAAATGAACTGTGAGATTTCCTACAAGTACCTCTGAGTGTTTCACTTATTGTCTGAGATAAAACAGCCTCATATTTGCCTGTTTCTCACATCTATGCCTAACAACTCACACCTTGTTGCTGCTGCCAAGTTGAATTTGGCTCATTTATTTCATTGTTCAAAGTATATCAGAGGGATAGCTGGGTAGGTGGAAGGGATGATGGCCAGATGGTCAAAGCTTGAAGAGACAAAGGTGTAAACAGACGAGTGGGTTGACAAGTGGACAGTTGAGTGGGTAGGCAGGAAGGAATGCTGAATGGATGAGTAAATGGATGCAGAGATGCGTGCCTGGGTGTATGCAATAGCGACTGGCTGGTAGGTAAATAGAGAAAGTAAAATAGAGAAAGTAAGACTTCGGTGGAAAATGATACTCACTCAGTCCCATCTTCACCTCTTTGCACTGTGATTTGGGAAGCCCCCAATTTACGCTGCAAGAGATTTATGATGTGGTTGTTCCAGAGGAACTTAACCTTCTCAATTTTGCCAACATTGAGGTCCACATCAATGTCTTTCATATAACTCGCATCTGGCTTGAGGGAGCCTCTGAAAGTGCAGACAGAAAATGTGACATCAGTTGGCAATATGAAGACATAGGCTGATAGCAATATATTGTTTCTCCACACAATAGTTGCTCTTTCTGGTTTTCTGCTAATGCTTTGAATGATATCATACCCGCCCAGGGGAAGTTAAAACACAAATGTGCTTGTGAAGAACCCACCTTAGAGGGAAGTCAAATATCTAGGATGTCCTATGTTGACCCTATAATTTCGCTACAGGAATAATTAGTACAATGCCTTTTGTTTAAAGATGTACATGGTTTAACAGGGGCAAGTGGTGAGCGCTCACTCATTAGGCTGCTTAAGAAGTTGTCAAAGAATTTTAACTTACCATGAAAATTATTATGTCCCAGTGAGTGCAAAAGCAGAATCTAATTTTAGGATACAGTTATGTATTGACCCAAGTCATATTTACTAAGCACGTCCTATATCCAGCAAAAGCTCTCTGAGGTTACCACGACGACAGGAAACGGGGTTTTGGGGGGAGGAGGCCCAGGTTCCACATGTATGTATATGTGGGGAGGGTGGAGTGTGTGCTGGAGGGAGCTGCTTGCACTCTCTGAGGATAATCTCACATTGACGACACCTACGTCAGGAAGCAACAACTGACATTCCAAATGGAGTTAGCACAGCACTCAAAATAGTGGCTCCCTCTCTTTCTGGTCTCTACTCTTTTTCTATGTAAAATGAAGTGCTTGTCCTGAATGCTAGAACTTCATTTTAGCTCTAACATTGGAGAAGTTCATAGTTCGATATAACAGATGGCTAGGTATAGACCCACATTTTTGGAATAATCTGGTATGGGAAGTATGGTCATTTCACTTTACTAAGGAACTTACTTGAAAATTTCATATTGTTTTGAGTTTCCATTGCTTCCATATAAAGCAATCCTGATGTAGCCACTCACTTTCTTTTTTCCAGACAGTGTGACTGATACCCGGTATCGCCAACCTGTCCAAACAAATACATAGGTTCAATGAATTTGTTGGGAAAAATGACCAATGGAAATATTCTTGTTCCAGCTCTGAATTCCTCATGGAGGAGATGTCAAGGGGAATGTAATTCATGGTTTCCTTCAATGAAGTTGGGGTCCCAGGAATTCAGATTCTAGGTGAGGGTGAGGGATTCTGGGAGTAAATATTATCGGAGCAACTTCATCTGCACAGTGAGAGAGGTTTGTGGCTTTGACATCGGGACAAAGAAGCCAACACTTAATTTACTTACTTACTTACTTATTGCCATTTTCACATACAATGGACATATTTTCAATAGAAAAGCAACACAGATAAATTTAAAGATCCTTTGTTAACACTCCATCTACCTGCTCTGCATCCCTACTGTTTTCCCAAGATAACCAGTTTGGTCTCCACACTTAGTTTAAGTTCAGTGGTCCTTGGTCAGGGGTGACTTTGCTCCCCAGGGACATTTGGCAACGTCTGGAGAATTATTGGTTGCCACAAGAGTGGGGTGAAAGGTACTACTGGCATCTAGTGGGTAGAGGGCAAGAACCTGTTAAACATCTTGCCATGCACAGGATAGCCCCCATCAGAGTGAGTTAGTTGGTCCCAAATGTCAACACTGGTGAAGTTGAGAAAACCTGATCTAGAGATTTCTTTGAGAATTCACTCACTCACACTCACAAACATAAACATACACACACACATAAAAGAGACTATAGGTGGGCCCTCCCTCATGGCACAATGGGTTAAAGCACTAAGAAGCTAAAGCCACTTCAGTATGACTTCAATCCCCACCCCAGAGGTGACCCACATGATGCGACAGGCCTCTCCTGACCTGCCCGCTGCTCCCCTCAGCAGTGTACTTGGCTAGTCAGCCTGTTCTGCTCCCCATTTGGTCTCTGGTGAATCCTCTCACCGCCCCTGCACTTCTAGCCTGTACCCAGTTCTATATGCATTAATAAATAAATCTTAAAAAAAAAGAGAGAGAAAATATAGGCATTTTCTCTCTTCCATAAATCACATATACTGCTGTTTGATATGGTCTCTACCCTCCCCACACCGTCCAGTCTCTGTCCTCTCCTGTGTTCCAGAAAGTCACCCCCACCAGGAATCCTCATCATGAGCATTGGGTTGGATTCAGCCAGTCATAGGCTTGCATAGGAAAACTGAAGGCAGGAGGAAACAGGTTGAGAAATTCACTCTCTGCTCTTCCCTTGCTCCTGTCCCACGGGTACCAGACTCCACTAAGATGGCTCTTCATCCTGGGGGGCCCACAGCTACTAGATTCGGGTGCCTCGGCAACCCTGGATTTGTTTTTTTGTTAAGTCTACCCACACCTCTAAAGTAGGCTCTGGTGAACTGTCTTTATTTGAAGCATACGATGAGTTCTGGCTCCTTTTGGGAACCAGAAAGGATGGTTCCCAAGTAACAGGATGATGCCTTGTTATTTAACATGTTTTAGAGATTTTGACTCTCTAGTCCCCAGAGCTGACTCCCTCCTTTAGTGGTACAATGTGTGCAGTGTGGTTGTTTGCCAATTGGTAGGCATCTAAGGGTTTTCTCGCCCACCCCCTCAACTACACAGTGGCATCCTTGGGCATACCTTCCTATGTATGCACACGGGCATTCTCCTAGGTACCTTCTGAGACATGGAAGGCTGAGTTAGAGGAACATGCATATAAGACGTCACAGACGCTGCCACAACCTGATCTGTCTTGATAAATACCACGAGGATTGCATGAAGTACTACATGCGAAAAGAATCTGGTTGTGAGCTATATAAAACTTTAAAAAAATTTTAAATTCCTTCAGAACAGAATTACTCTTTTATTCAGACGTTACTTATAACAAATGAATCTTGATGACAAGTTAGACAAAAATAACACAAACTGTGTGTGTGTGTATGTGTGTTTAGGGAGATAGTAAGATGATAATCACGGAGGTGACATCACATCTTGGCTTACACTGACTTACTGATCAGGATCCTTAGTTAAAGGGGAGAAGATGGGACCCAAGACAAATGCCATACTTTTCTGTCCTTCTGTTACAACTTAAGCTGGCAGGAATTGAGTTTCTATAGCTGCGGAGCAAGGGTCCTGACCAACAAGGCTGGTACACTGCTTAAAATTACTTGGAGGAAAGTTTAAATGAGTAAAATGGAAACTTACGAGTAAAATTACCACTCCCTCCTGTGTTCAGGAAAATGGCTTGTCCCACAGCACTGGTTTTCCCTGGAAATTGGTCAGCAAAGTGACCCATTTTGGGGCATCCTCCATCAGGACAAGGGAAGCAGTTATTCTGGGGAGAAAAAACAAATAGTTGGTGAATGGTGCTCCTTGACTCACCCATTCATTTGGTCAATCCGTCATCTTCCCATTTACTCTCCTCTTCTCATCACCCACTTACCCTCCATTCAGCCCCCCATCCACCCACACATCCAACCACCCATCATCCATACTCATTCTGCCATCAACCCACCAATGCACCCTCCATCATCAAACTGTGCACAGAACTGTGTTAGGCTCTGCAGGGTCCCCAAAGAAGGCCCTGGGGAGACCACCATAGCCAGGAAGCAGTGAGATGAAGATGTAAGTTGAAGGCAAGACCTCTAGGGAGGAGGAGGGATGGATCACAAGTTGTTTCAAAAGAGCAGAGAAGGATGATCTGTGACTATCTTCATCCTAATGTGAATCATTTGTCTGTAGAGAACTGACTGAACCTAGGTGATGCGCCCTATAGATCAAACTAACGCTTTGTGCCACAGCATGGCTGCTCCTTTGCTCTTTGCCCTCCCCACATCCATCACGTCCTGAATGCACAGGACAAATGCAGGAGGCTGTGTCCGCGGTTACCCTCGCCCTGACAATGCCGGGCTTGTCAAAGTCGCACAACGAACACGCCCAGGCAGGCAGCAATATGATGACCTTTGAGCCCAAACATCTCAAAATTAGTTTTGAGAGGACATATGTGGGTGTAAACATTTATCTATTTTATATTTATAAAGCACGTTGATATTTACTTACAAGAAGAATAGACTTTTAAACTTCAAACATTTACAGTCATCTTATGTTCTTTGCCCTGGATAAAAGTTAGTGTGTTATAAGTGATGTAACCATTGATTCAGGTAAGAGGCTCATAGCTTTCATGTTGGTTTGTTGTTGGGGAACAGTATCATGTCATAGATTAGTAGGGGAAAGAGTGTGGTGATTATGCAGAAAACAGGCAGGCACCACCTTCACCAAGTCATTGTTCTTTATGTGATCAATCACAGGGACCGTCATAGAATGGCCATCTCTGGTTGTGACACACTGAGAATGACCCAGGGTCACCCAGTGAATCGGAAAGAAATAATCAAGCAAGTTCAGTCTGTGAGATATTCATATCAGACACCTGGTTTGGAATCCTCATAGCTGTCAATGTTCTCGAAGACCAAGGGAAACACGGGGAGGGGTTCTAGGTTAGAGGAGAGTAGAGAGAAAAGACAATAGATACCATGAAAGGAAAAGAAGGGTAGAAAGAGGGAAAAAGAATGGAAGGAAGGACATAGAGGCGAGAAAAAGAGAAAGCAAGGGGCAGAGGGAGGAAGGAAAGGAGGGCGAGGAGACAGGGAGCCCCAGGTCTGGAGCATAGTGCTAAAATTATCTGGACAAGTATGAATACGGATGCTATCTTAGGGGATATAGCATGTCACTGCTAAGTCCCATGAATGTGGCTCTAGAGGAGAATGATCTCACTCTTGGGGGATGAATGCTGAAGCACTCGAGAGTGGAGTGTCATAATATCTTTACTTTCACTTAGGAAAACTGTTCACACACAGCTACAGGGGATGTTAACAATGGGCGTATCTAGGAGATGGCTGGGCAGCCATCCATTGTGCTCTTCCTTCAACTTCCTTGTAGATTTAGCATTTTCCAGATGAAAAGCTGGGAACATAGGGAAAGGCCAGCACCGTCCAGTCTGAGCTGCCCCTCCTGTCCTCCCAGCTCTGTGGAGGGGGGAAGGAGGCTCTCTAGGCCAGACATTCTCAGTGCCTCCCCAACCTGGCTCTGGAATTACAATCCTGCTCTGTTCACACCCCAAGTCCTCCCCCGCCCAGGAGCCCCGGTGTGACCCACCTGCTCAAACTCATTGTAGGAGGCACACGGGTAGCCCAGGAAGCCGTCGGGGTTCAGGATGCTGCTTGAGTAGTACTTGTAGCTTCTTAGGTGATTGCAAGCCACAAAGTTCCGGGTTCCTGGGAAAGCAAAGGTCACAAAAGTCTCCTCACTTTGGAAACCTGAACATTAGGACACAGAGAGGCCCCAGCTTCGCACTTCCCAGGGAGTCGCCTGCTTCCTGGTGCCTTTGGACCCTTTAAAACCACCACCACTTTGGGGAAAGTAAGACCTCTGGGGTTGTTGGCTAAAGTCACTCCCCTATACTCCCCAATAGCTTAAAAGGGCTCCCACACCAGCCCATCAACCCCTAACTTGTAATGTGGTAAAAGATTAAACCCAGATCGCCATGTCTTCTGATTTTTCACACAGGGAGCCACAAGTATCTTAGTTTTACATGAATTCTTTCCATCCTCAACGAGAACGGTCCATTCCCACTTGAAGGACAGCCCTGGGAGGCCAGCCCTGGGCCACCCGCCAGCCTTCTACCCAGGACCACGCCAGCCACTCGCTTCACAAGACCAACGTTTTTGTGGCCACAGGCCAGGAATTCCCCCCACTGCTACCCCAGGCCCCAGGCAGCAGCAGCAGAGACCAAGCTCCCCCGCCTCAGGCCACTCTCATGGCATTTTATTGTCTTTTTCTTTAAACCAAAGTCCTCCTTTGGAAAATTGTTTTCATTTTTTGCAGCTACTTGGTGCAAAACTCTCCACTGATCCTCCGTAACCCAGGATGTACCTGGAGGCCACTTCTGGGGGGTCTGGGGGGCTTTATCCGCCTCCCAGGGAGAAAGGGCAGTTCCCCTTTGTGTGGGGGGATTAGCTCTCCACACCCCCAGCTCCACTGTGCCCTCCGGCCAGGGCTTCCAGCCAAAGCCAGGTCCCCCTGCCCACACCAATGCTCATTACCAGACAACAGAACCTGCTTCACACTTAATTGTTTCTTTCATCCGAAATTGCTGCCCAGGGACCCCATAATAGAGGAGCCGGTGGGTGTAATTGTTCCCGGTGCCCAGCGCCTGCGTGACTCAGAGCTCCGCAGGGTAGAAGCTTGTTCCGTGTTCACAGCCTGTTCCCTGGAAATCGCCTCTTTAATTAAACCTGGGCTCCTCTCTATTGTGTGTGCCCTGCTCCTCACCCGTGGGCCCCCGGGCCTCTGGTGTTCTGTCAGGGACAGAAAAGCCAGGTCTTCCTGGAGTTGGCTGATGTGGAGCGAGAGGAGGGGAAGGCGCCACTCATTGTTGCTACGTGTTGGCTGTTGCTTTAGTGACCGGACTACGCTGAGTGGTGCTGGCCAGGCCCTGCAGCATCTGGGTGGCCAGGACCAGCCCGGGGCCTGGGATGGCTGGCTCAGGAGCGTGAAAGACCTCAGACTCAGGCTCCACTTCAGGGCGGAGCATGAGCAGAGCGAAGCTCAGCTAGAGGGCCAGCGGGGGGGGGGGGGGTGCTTGTGGGCAGCCCACCCTAGGAACACCCAGCCTGCTCCGGGAGGTTCACCTCCACACACAAGCATTGTGCCACAGCTGCGGGCCTTGCGCTCCCAGGGTGGACTTCCCAACCCCCCACTTTCTGTTCCTAGGCAAGTGCATCAGTGTCTCTCACACCATTGTCTGTGCCCTCTAGTTTTCAAGGAGCCAGTGCAGAAGGCAGGGTGGGGTGAGGGCTGGGGGGTGTCAAAGGCAGAGCTGCAAGGTGACACCCCGCTCAGTCTCAGCAGCCTGCTGATGGTGGCACAGGCCGGGGCGTGAGGTCAGGGCTTCGCAGCCAGAAACGCTAACTTAGGGGTGGTCTTGGGCAAGTTTCATAATTGTGCTGAACTTGATGCCTCGTCTCTGAGTGGACCTGTGAAGTCACAGTTGTGACATGGCACCAGCCTCCAGCACGGGGCAGATTCAGAGAAAGGCTGGGCCAAACACCCACCTCCTCCCCGGAGAGGCAGCTCCTCTGGCTTTCCCGCTCACTTACCTTCCCAGAGTCCATTTATATCGATGATGGACGAAAGGGCATTTTTCTGACATCCAGGCATATGCTTTCCTCCATTAGGATAGAAATCCAGGTGGCCTGCCTTCTGGTTCATTCCAAACCCTGACACATGGTAAGCAGAGGTGAGCGGGGAGGGAACTGGCCCTGGGCTAGGCGGGGGAGGATAGAGGGGGTACACGAGGGCTCCCCCCTGAAACAGCCACTGCTCTCTCTGGCTCTGCAGAAAGTTCTCAGAGGCGCGCACTTGGCAAGACAAGGATGGGACAGAGAACAGAGGAAGGGAGCTGGTAGGCTCTGGGTACACACACGTATATTCGTAGTGCGTTTTCCTGTCTGTCGATCTTGCCCAGGCCCTGAACAAAATCGACACGCTGCCCTCCCATGAGACCCCAGCAAACACATATCAGGACTGGCGTGACGTTTATTCCATGAATCATTTTTCAAGTTTGATGTCTACTTTATGTTATTAGATTGACACCACGTATCTTGTTCTTAGATTGAGCCCACGCATATTGTTTTATAGGGCACGATGGCTTGATGGCTAGGTGCTTTGGCTCTTGAGACACACTGATCTGTGATCTAGCCTGGCTCGACCAGACTATGATCTTGGCCAATAACTTCACTCCATAGAGCCTCAGTTTCCTCAGCTGTGAAATGGTAATACTAGTAACAACCACATTTCAGCGTTGTTACAATCCTTCATGAGCTAAGGTATACAGAATGTTCCATGCCACAGATGGTAAACACTAAGTGATAGCCTCAGAAACATACTCTTTTCTGGCATGTCTCAGATGTGGTTATACAAGAAAATATCAGGGAAGAAACTCTGCCTTTACAAGGATGCCATACCAAAAACACATACCACGATCAGAACTTTGACACAAACAGAAAATCATTCAAAAATTCACTTTGCTTTTTGCAGGAATGGGTCAAGCATCCGTCATGACTCGTCTGCCACCCTGGACATTGGCGGCGAGAGTTGAAAACCTGAGCCACAGTCTTCCATGGGCTCTTGGTGCTCCCTGGGGTCCCAGGTTGATGCCACTGGCAGTGTGCCGCCTGATCATTTGAGAATGGCACCTGCTTTGACGGGTTGACCCAAGCTCTTCCTGTGGTTGACCATTCTGAATATCACCCCAGCGAATGTGAGTGTCGGGTGAGTGGGGAGACCAGGACGCGCTGTCGGGTCTCCAGGAGGTGGAGTGTGGCACTCACCGAGGTTAGGGATGATGGGAGCAGCGTCCGTGTGAATCACATCCACAAACATGGCGTCGGAGGAGTCCAGCCGAACTTCCTCGGGTGCACCCTGGAAACATGGCTCTGCGGGGTCCAGCCCTGGTGGGGGGAGAGGGGGGGTCATGGGAGGCCCCACTCTCAGACAAACCAGACTCTCAGCCCTTAACCCACAAACTGAGCATGAGGATTCTTGGCCAAAGGGCCCCACACCCAGCAGCCGTGGCTTGGGGAATCAGGTCTGCTTGGGAGAGGGAGGCCCGGATGCACAGGCTGGAACTAGCCCATTTCCGGTCAAAGAGCACCCAGAAAGCCCCAGCTCCAGCTCCGTGCAGAATCTGGTGTCCGATGCCCCCATTTCCCCTCATCTATGTTACTGTTCAGCTATTGCTCTCCAGGACAGTAAGCCTCACTTGGCAGCTCCCCAGTCCCTGGGGAACTTTGTTCCTTTGTGTCTCTGCTCGCTTCAACCCAGCCTGGTCCTCCTAGGCCTTTCCCCTCCTTGGCCCGGCTCCCACACCACCTCAGTCTGGAAAATTTAGCCTCTCTGTCCCCAGCCCACTCCATCCACACTGCATCGGGTTATTTTGCACGTATCCATCCTGGTTTGAATTTAATTTGCTTCCTTAATTGTCTGCCTCCTGGACTAGACTATGGATTTCCTGAAGCAGGTGGACTGTCCAGTTGTCTGCAAGGAAAAGCAGGGCACAGGCGGAGCAGGCACTCGCCCTGGAGCTCTGCCCAGGCTCCTGCTGAGCGCTCCCAGCTTCCTGGTCCAGTGCAGAAAGAGGGAGACCCAGCTACCTCCTGCGAACCCCAGGGGCTAGTCCCCACCCTCACCCCATGCCTAGAGACAGCCTGGCCATTTTCTGCCTGTGCTTGTCACAATACAAACATATGTGGAACTGATAAATTCTTTTTCTTTTTAAAATCAGTTCACTTTTCTTTTCTCCTTTGCCGGACTAGCACTCACTAAACTTGGACTCGAGCTGTTTGCCAAAGTGACGGACTGATTCAGCTGCACAAAATAAACGTATCTGTCTTGGGAGCCTTCATTTTGCCCACGGCTCCACCGTGCGTCCATTATTCACCGAATACCTCCTATGTGGCAGGGGTCACTTTCTGCCTGTGCCTGTCACAACAGAAATATATGTGGAACTGATGAGTTCATTTAAAAAAAAAAAAATCAGTTCACTTTCATTCTCCCCTTTGCCGGGCCAGCAACAATAACTAAGTCACGGGCTTAATGTGTCGTCTTATCTTTCATTTCTTTATAAACGGATTTTTACTTACAACCACATTTTCTAATATACATTAAAAAAATAATATAGAGACTCTTTTTGCCTGCAGTCGGTTCCTGGGGGACCAGCAGAGGCGTCCTTCTCGGTGGTAAGCACCGAGTGTCCTGTCGAGTGTGGGGGCTCCCAGCCCGCGCCCAGGGCGGGGTCCCCGCACCCCCCCCCTCCCCTACCTGTGATCCTGCCTACTTTGCCGCCCAGCCGCTTGCCCGCCTCTCCCGCCGCGTGCGAGCCCAGGCTGTGGCCGATGATGTGCACGTCCTCCAGGCGGTAGCCCAGCTCTGTCTGCGGAGGGAAGGTTTGTCAGGGCTGGGAAGGAGCCGGCGGGAGACGTCTCCGGCTGTCAGCCAGCCCGTGCGCAGGGCAACAGTGCTGACCAGCGGCCGCTGCGTCAACTGCAGGCCGCTGCAGGCGCCTCTGAGGAATCTGGCTCCTTCCCTCTCCCTGGCTGGGGCTGTCTGGGACAGAGTCTATGCCAGCTCTGGGCTTCCCGGGGAAAGACCTTCCAGGGGGTAGAGAAGAGCTTTGCCTCTGTGGGCTGAGACCTGGGGGACAGCCCAGCCAGCTCTAGAATTCCCAGAACAACCTGCAAGAAACGCTTTACGGCAAAAAGGGAAACTGAGGTTCAAAAAGATTCCTTTGCTCCAGGTTCCCCAGCCAGGGATCTAGCTGTAGGAGCAGAGGGAAGCGTCTGGAAGGGTGCAAATTCACTTTAGGAATTTCCCTGCTGGTGGGTGCCAGGCTGCACCTGGGAGCAAGGTTTGCTGGGAGCCCCTCCCTGCCCCCCTTCCCCCACGCTGCCCCTTTCTCCCTGGCCCAGCTAAGGATGCAGCTTGAGGCTTACCGACAGCGCTTGTATCAGGTAGGCGACCTCGGCGCCCACCACCCGGATGTTGTGCACCGCTTGGGTGTACGCAGTCAGCGCCCCTCGTCGCCAGTCCACGCAGATGCAGTTCACCTGCTCCACTTTAAACATGTTCTGGGGAGGACAAGCAAGGGGAGAAACGTGCACTGACAGCCACGGGCTGCACCCTCCGGAGCTGAGAACCCACAGCCCTGAAGCCTCTGGTTTGTGCCAGTCTTGACATTTGTCACACTGGTCCTATCCTCACCATGCAGGTGTGAGGGGCAAATCACCACCTCGACCGAGGCAGAAGCTGAGGCTTGGAAGGGGGCCCGAGAGTTGCTTAATTCTCACAGATGCTTGCTGACCTAACGGGGTGGGAATGATTCTTTAGTAAGTCAGGGTCGAACAAACTGCTACCAGGGGCCAGGTCCCCGCTGGTGGTGCCAAGTGCCGCTGGCACAGCTTGAGGGTGTGCCCACTGTCAGCCTCTGGGCCACGACAGAGCTGATCTGAAGCCATGTGGCCCTCGGATGCCAAATAATCCCTGCCTCATCCTCTACAGGGGGGTTGCGGATCCCTGTACTACAACTTGAAGCCTCTGGTGCTGCTGTAAGTGCTGCTTCTAACATCCCAGCAGTGCCACTGTGAGAGAAACAAGGTGTCGAGGGACACGTTTAATAAGATAATCTGGAGGGTGAGGTAGGTACGACCCAGTGAGACATGTGTGTGACCGCAGTCTACTGACGAAGCACACGGTCCCCTACTGGAGGGCAAATGCCAGAAAGGGTCACTCCGTAGCCTGGCTCACTTTGCATCTTAGTTTGAGGTGGGAAGAGCTGGCCAGAGCCAGGACATCACGGTAGAACTCATTACCCAACTCTCCGTCTCCAGCCCACGCCACCTCCTTCTGGGACTCAGGGGCATGTGTGAACACCCCAACCCCAAGAGTGACAGAAGATCTCTGAAGAAGTAGGTTGAGCTCTAGCCCAGTGCAGACTAAGTCCCTCATCACCATGTCCTCGGACATGTCCCACAGGCCCACTGTGGACACGCAGGATTAGCATTGTGGTGTCTTGCATAGAAGACGCAGTTTTGCGTTCCACCTCCAAGGATTTGGACAAGTGTTGAACTTCTAGGGTCCTAACTTCCTCATCTACAAAATGGGGGCCACCGCTCTACCTTCCTCATAGTGTTACTGGGACAAAGACCATGTTGGGAGAGGGATATAAGGAATAATAATTCACTAATAACATTCATGGGGAAAACATTAAGCTATGCACTCCAATGCCCTCACCGCTAATCATGCGCTACTTAAAAAGGCAGCTAAAAAAACTAAATCTCAAAATTCAGTTCTCCAGTCACGCTAATAAGTCACATTTCGCCTGCCCAGTAAGCGCGAACAGAGCATTGCTGCACAGGTCTGGGATGGTGTCGACCAGCTGAAGCTCATTTGCCAGACTGTCCTCCCGCGGGATTTCTGATTGGACACTGTACCTCTCCTGCCTCGGGGGACTGGCTAGGAGCCGGGGTGGGGACGAGGCTGCGGAACGCGGCCCGGGACACCACCAAGCTCCAGGTTCTTCCCGGGTGGTTTCAGGAAGGACCCATGTCTTCCTGGAGTACTTCCTGTCTAGGTCTTGAGGCATTAGGGGGGCAGTGTTTGATCTGGGTGGGGTCTCAGCAGAGTGGCCAGGAGAGGGGCCCCTACCTTGCACATGTCCGTCAGCCAGCTCTCCTCCCCCTTGTCTATGAAGCCATGGATGATGAAGCGTGTCTTGCGGCTCATGTGGAAGTTTGAAGCCTCGACGGTGTTTAGGTCCGTGACACTGATCAGCTGATTTAATCAGAAAAGATAATGTGCATGCTGGTAACCGAGCCATTCGAAGTAGTTCAGCCAAGATTGGGGTGCATTCCCATGGAGCTGGGTCAGACTGGAACAGGACCTGACCTGGGGTATGAGGCTAAGTCCTCGAACTTTCTATTAATTATGAAAATGGGCATCAACACACAGTCATCTTAGCAGCAGAAGCCACCGAGATTTGTCACCAGCAGAAGCCACAGAGATTTTCATGTCACCTGACAGTGGTTGCAGATAGTTTAAAATATCATTTACACTCAGTATTATCTTAAATGCAGTCGTACTAAGCCACCCCCTTAATCGTGTTATTTGGTCAGCTAATACACAACACCATGCATAGTGTTCGCTCACATTATTTGTCTTTTTTAAGATCTTGTTCTGCCGTTTTCCAATAGAACTGGTTTCCTTTGCTATCCAACATAGTTTTCAGATTTAGAAGCATTCTCCTGAGAAAAGGGCCCCAGGGTTCCCCAGATACCCTAGAAAAGATGAACTCCTGTGCCAGCAGAGTGGGTATGAGGGGACCCAGCAAGTAAATTTAGCTCAGTGGTGCTGCAAGGGCCTCACACACTCATAGGATTTAAGAACCAGAGTCCTCAGTGCCACCCCCGACTCAGGACCCTCCACCAGCCCCCAAGGGCAAGACCACACAACAAAACAAGACCACCCCATGAAAGCAGATGTCCAGCTGGGGGTGCTGAGTGAGAGTCTGTCACTTAGACTCCTACAGCGGTGACCTCAGACACCTGTAGGCTGATACCCGGCTCTCTGACCTCTGTGGGGGCCAGGGGCTCTGAGCTGCTTGAATTCTGAGCAAGTTTTTTGTTTATTTATTTTCATTTTTATCAAAGTAACATGGTGTATAATATTATACAGGTTTATAGTATTATACAGACTACAATCTGTATAATATAATAATAGTAATATCTGTATAATATTATACAGATGTCTGGACTTCTGTCTCTACTGCATAATAAGCACTACCAAAAATCTAGTTTCCATCCAGCACTGAATAATTGATCCTGATTTACCTGCCCTCTCACCCACCATCCCCTCTGTTACTACTGTTCTGTTCTGAAAATCTGGGAACTTTCAAGACCAGGCAAAAGAACTGAAGAGACACATTCATGAAGCTGGCATAGCACCTCGTTACCTAAATACCAAAGACCTACAAGATAGACACTAGGAAATATGTCTGACAACATTCTTCCTGTGCTTCTAAGCACCCGGGGGAGGCCCGTCCTGCTCCCACCTGGAAGGTGTTCTGGGAACAGCGTTTCCACCCAGGACCCCCCCTTTTCACTTTTGTGGTTAAATGTCCCCTCTCATCCCGTCTTCTGGTTCTCCAGTGAGGCTTTACTTCCCCGGATTTCTCTCCTCCACGCTGCTCTGCACAGGTGGGGAACTGCCAGGCTTGGGTTCCTCCATCAGTGCTGCTCATGACCCCTTCCTCCCAGGGACAGGGTGTGATGCCCAGTAGCACCTAAAGTTCTAGCACAGCTGTGGGGTTGTGTAAGTTTCTGGGCTGGGCGTCTATAGATTTCATCAGATACACACAGGGCCTGTGGTCCCAAGGGTTGGTTTGGTTCTAGGCCTAAGGCTGGTGAAGGAGTATCACCTGCAAAGTTGTAAAGCACCAGAGTGAAGGCTTCGGCGTGCAAGTCTTTATCCACCCTCCCCATGGTCTTCCCGTGCCCGTGCTTACTTGGAAGTTGTTTGGATTCTCATTTGTGTACAGAAGAAATCGGGTGTTAATCTCTTTGGGAGACCAGGGAAACATCTTCAGAGGCCGCTGCAAGATTCCAGTCCATGGCTTTTCATCGGAAAAACAGCCAAAGGGTGGGTAGCAGATCTCCTTCCCTGGGGCAGGGAGATAACGAGACAGATCAGACACCTGTGAGGTTCCTGGAGGAGGAGCAGCGTTTCAGCCACACAGCGCCTCTTAGCCACACAGAAGTGGGGTGGCTAAAAATTCCTGGGAAGCTTCTGCTTAAACCTGCCTCTTCCAGGAAGCTCCCAGATGACTTGTTACATATATGCATCAAGCATCAAGGACTTATCAAATGCCTGTGCATGAGTTTGGTCATGCAGAGATGCTACTTGATTTGTCTTGCCGTCTCCACTGACCTTGCACTGGGGAGGGAGCACTGCCAGGTGCTACCGATGATGATGATGACTTTCTAGTAACGACGACGCCTGTATTTGCCTCAGCTGGAGACTATCCAGGTCTTCTCCAGCCAGGGGGAGAGGCATAGTCCCTCTCTCCCTTAAGACTTGGTACAGCATCCTTACCTGCAACTGTGGCCAGCAGGAGAAAGCCCAGGGCCCAAGAGAGCAGCATCTATAGTGGAAAACACAGTGGGCAAAACAGAAACTCAGCCACCTGGGCTCCGTCAGGTATTCCCTTGAGGTGAGGGCCCCGAGGCTGAAGCCTCCCCCATTGGCGATGTCACTCGCGGGCCCCAGAACCAGTGGCATCCCCCATTCTGGGGCACATCCTCCTGGTAGCCCCAGACCCACCAACCCCATGCCCACTTGGGCTGTGTCTTACTCTGCCGCATCAGAGTTTCCGCTTGGAACCAAGCACTTGGCCGTGGCCTTTTATAGCAGGGCTTTATCGCTGGACTCCCCACAGGGAGGGATGGGAGAGATAGGGCTCTGCACATGTGTGCTTTGACCCCGGCCTATCATAAACACATAGAGCCTGGCAGCTTACAAGCAGGGCTGTTTATAGAGTGAGACTCCAGCGAAGGAAACTGACTTTGGGTTGGAGAGTGTTCTATTGCCCCGAACCTATAGACGCAGCTGCCAGAAAATTGTGCTCCCCTCTTGAAAACAGGGGAGCACCAACGTGCTTTGCTTCCCATTCAAAACCCTCAGAAGGACTAACCATACGCTCGTCTTGTGGCCTGGCCAGAGCTGTGCAGGGGTCAGAAGTCTAAAGAGCTACACTTGAGTGGACGCTCCTGCCTGTGAGGACATGGACCTTCTCTGTGGGGTGGGGTGGGTGAAGCGCCACCCTTCAATGAACCTGGACAGAATAGAAGGCCTACTGACAGAGAAGCTCAAAAAGAATAAACTGGAAAAAAAAAATCAAGGGAATGCCGTGCTTAGAAAAAATATATAGTGCATTTGAGTTGCATGGGCTGTACATTGACCTCGTGATAAGGCAGAAAGAAAACAGAGGGGTTTTCTTTCCCTCCTCAGCGAGAGGAGAGCCTGGGTGATAACCAGGGGCCACCCTACCATTTTTTAAATTGACATACAATTGAGATACACCGAAGAACATATATTTTAAGTCTAAAACTGAAGGTTTAGACAAATGAATACACCTGTGTCCCAGATCAAGATAAAAAGCTTTCCCAGCAGCAGAAGTTGCTTTCACAATCTGACCACCACCTCAGAAGCAACGCTCCTGTTTCTATGCCTTAGTTTGGTCTGTTCTAGAATTGCATATAAAATGCAGATAGGTTGGTGTCTGCTTTCCTTCACACGCGTTTTTGGGGCTCGCCTGCGTGGTCGCACTATCAGCGGTCGGCTCCTTCTCTGGGCGGTGTCACAGGGTTTATTCTGTGGGGATGTAGTTCAGTTGGCTTGTCAGTTCTAGTTCAGGGGACTTGTCGGTTCTTTCTCATTTGGGGTTATTATGAACAATGCTCTGGGAACCTTCTGGTCTCGCACACAAATCTCTAGGTAGACACAGGCACTGGGTTCTCAGGTTTATGCCCAAACTCGAGTTAGTGGGCTCTGGGTATGAGATCTGATCCTAAGGGAGCACTGCCCAGCCCCTTTCCAAGGTGGGAGCACCTATGTGAACCCCCACTGGCGACTGGGTGAGCGTCCCTGTTGCTTCACGCCCTGCTCCTACTTTTGATGGGACTCAGAAGCACCGAAGTTGCCAGCAATTTGGGAACTGACCCACAGGGCACAACAGACGTCTCCTGTCCCCCCCTCTGCTCCCCTCAGCAGTGTATTTCAGTAGATCCGCCTGTCCTGCTCCCCACTCTGTCTCTGGTGAATCCTCTCACCCCCTGCACCTCTGGCCTACACTCCAGCTCTTGTATGCATAAATAAATAAATCTTTTAAAAAAAAGAAATGGAGAAAAATGATATCTTTTTTTTAAACAAGTACTTGTCAATTTATTGCACATTTTTTCCCCAAGTACAGTCCATGAAGTTTGAAAATTAAAGTTACACATTTCATATATATTTATGGGAGGGTCTAACAATTACCACACACACATGCAATGAATTTCTGGTAATCTTCATCTGAACCAATAATGCATATGAGAAAAATGACTTCTTTTAATGGTGAAACTCCCTTCTGAGAAGTCTGAAGTTGGAGATGTTCAGAAGTCAGAGAATGAGCTTCTCTTTCTCAAATGACTTAAGGAAAGTCAAGGGGTGTGGGACCGAATGGGGTTGTTATGCCTCAGTAACTCCAAAGCCTTATGGAGCCCCCGGAAGTGTCCATGGGGTCCGATCCACAGACCCACTCTATGGGGCCGTGGCTACCTGTCATTCTTGGGGAAACATCCAAGCTCCTTACTACAGGCTTTGGGGTGCAGTGTTCTTGGGGCCTTGCTTCCTGCCTCCCCTGGAGTCTCACTCGATCAATTCAGGCACGCCTGCCAGACGTCCCTGTGTAGTCTCTTGGAAATGCCCATCTGGGCACAATGACCTCTTTGCAAAGTCTTTCCACTTTCTGGAAGTGGAACCCTTACTTGTTTTTCCCCTGCTTAACCTGACTCTAGCCCTCATGGCTCTGCTTAATTATCTCATCTCAAAGGCGCCTTCTTGAATGCCTAGAGCTGAGCCAGTTCTAACTTTACATGTTCCTTATTTTTCTGTTCAAGGGACCTACCCAGATTGGTAATTGATTTCATCAATTGTTTGTTTAGATCTGCCATGGTGGCAGGATTAAGGTCTGCACAGTCATCTCTGTGTCACCAGAGTCTAGTGCAGTGCCTGGCAGATACAGTTCATTGTTAAGCAATTGCTGGATGAAAGACAGAAAACTGGTGGCTGATGACTCATGGGTTGGTGAGCTGGAAGGCTTCCAGACTTCTCCTGCCTTCTCCTCCCTGCTCTATGCCCTGAAGGCTGCCTCTGTGGACTGCCTCCCTGGACTTCTTGCCCTTGACCTCTGTTCTGGAGAACAGAGAGTGGGAGGAGGGGAAGGGAGGTTGGAGCATTTTTCCCAGGCTCTCTTCTCTGTTGTGGTTGGGCAATGTCTACCCTTCTCTCCAGAGGGCGCCTCTCAAGCAGCCCCTGCCCACAGCCCCAGATCTTTCCAGAACCATCTAATGGCAACCTTCTCTCTCTTTTCAGGCCACAGGAAGTCAGAGCTTTCAGCTGCTGCTAACCCCTAGAAACATGGGCATCCCTAGTGGGTTCCCTCAGCCCTACTCACACCACTGTAAACAGTCTCTTTGATAAGCCCTTTGAGTGGCCATGTCTTTGCTGCTGGGGCCCTGATGGGTACAGCTGGCCACTGGACTTTCCTGAGTGAGGATGGTCACAATGGCTCAGAGACCTGTGGTCCACCTGGAGGGATTTGCTAGGTCTTTGGCATCTGCCTTTTCTACCTTCCTCCTAAAGGTGATTTCAACCTTATTAGGAGAGGGTTTGGGGTCCTCTAGTTCTTCCACATGGGTTTTTGCAGGAAGACTAATAGCAGCTGATGCTATAGTTGCTTATAGTTTTGGCCTGAGGCCTGGGAGGCCCTTTGAGGTAATCCGTGGGTTCCAAAGCCCACAGTCTGCTGGGTCAGCCACGGTTAGTCAAGGACTCAGAGGAACCTTCTCACTGAGTGGCCAGTGGTGTTTCTTCTGGTCAGTGGTCACCCCAAAGAGCAAAACTGAAAAGGAAGGGGGCCTCCCTACTCCCTTAGGTAAGAAGTGACTCCCAGTCTTGCCAGGTCAGCGGCTCTGCTCTCAGGCAGGTGGCAGTCACCCTGTCTTCTGGGGACTCACCCAGGCTGATCTGCTCAATCTGAGGACAAACTTTGCAAAGCTTGGAATCACTGGAAAATGGAAGAGGGCTTTGCTGGTGGGGAGGGCACCCCTGACTTGAAAGCAGACACAGGGTGGGCCCCAGATGAGCTACTTCAAAATCCTTTTCAAATCTGGGATCCCACAAGAAATTCTGGAAATTGCATCTTTTAGGTAGGACACCCCATCTTGTTCAAGTGAGAATCAACCCGAAGAAACACAGCACCTCTCCTCCCCGCCATCAGGAAGGCGGAGCACTCTTGACACCCTCACCAGGGCTTGGGGTCAAACCCACTGGTCTTTGTCAGGGAGGCCCAGAGTGAGGCAATGAGAACCAGGCTGCCCGCGGTGAGGCCAGGCCGGCTCAGCGCCCTCTCCTCTCCGAGGCCCTGACAAGTCCTGAGATTGTGCCAACTGTGTGCCTGGGAAGGAAAGGGAAGCTATCACCTGTGGGAAATCACTCACTGGCCACCTGTTGGCCAGTGAGAGGGTCAGGGCCGGGGGAGTCCTGTCACATGGCCCAGAGGCTGCCGGGGTGGAAATGGGCTTGGGTCCTCTTCCTCTAACCCCACCACCCACTGAAATCTGCGCCTCACCTTACGTCCGTCCCCTCCATGGCTTCCCTGCCCTGGCGCGCCCCACCCCAGGACCCCTGCACACTCCCCCGCCCAGCTTTCCTCCTTGGGGCCCTCAGACACATTTCCCATTGTCGTTTCTGTGGCCAAATGGCGCGCTGCTGCTCTTCCAGCCTGGAGGACACAGCAGTGACCAGCAGGCCGTCTCCTGTCATGGTCTGGCAGATGACGGTCCCTCCCTGCCGCGGTGCTGCTGAGTCTTGTCAGGGCCGGAAGAGAGCACCAGATGGGCAGGGCGGGCTGCTGTCTCCGTTTTACAGATGAGAAAGTCGAACAGGTGGAAACTCCTTACCCAAAGTCACCTGCTTGACTAGAACCCCAAGTGCTAGCTCTTCCTACTGCCGAAGGCCCCTCTGAGTGTCACTTACTAAGCTGACGTGAACACGGCCTGTTTTCTTTCCTCCACACACTATATCCGCATGTCTTCTAACAAGGCACCACCTTTGTTATTTACAAAACAAAATGAAAACAAAACCCGGTCAAACTGGCCCCTCATAGCCCGGAAACCGGGAAATTGGACTAGATTTGGTCGGGGCCATGCAGGTGTATCCCCAGCACGCCCCAGAGAGTCCCGAATCCCCATCATCGCATCAGTGTGTGTGGGTGTGGATCTGCGCGCTGGGCATGGACTCCAGGTGGGTGGACTCAGGGAGTAAATGCTCTGTGGCCACTGATAAGTTGTCAGGGCTCAAGGCAGTGATCTCGGAACCTGCTGAATTCTGCCTTCTGGGAGTTTTCTCCAGCTGCATGTCTGATTAAAGGACATACCTTTGAGTAGAGGGGTGCAGGTGGGGAGAACAGGGGTCTTGGGTCTGCATTGGCTGCCTACCTCGATTCTGGAGCCTGTGCCCACCCCTGCACCTTTGGTTAAATCCTGGGTCATCACAGGTCACCTGGAGGCTCAGGGAGCTTTGACTCCTCACAGTCTTGCGGAACCTCCCCAGCTGACTTTCTCCTTCCTCAGCTTCACCATCTTCTCAGTTTCTCCCTTGGTTTACAGCCATCCCCCCAAGTCACTTGCCGTATATGCTGGTCAGGGGAGCAGGGGGGGCAGGCTCCCAGGGAGAAGGGCTCTCCCATGGCCAAACTGCTCCTCCATTTTACCTCCCTACTACTCACCGCCTTCCTTTGGTTCTCTTCCTTCTTGTGTGGATCGTTGCAGAGACTCTTCCTTCTAACTCGCCCCCAAGCCTGCAGTTTCAGTAGGCCACTGTCCTATGAGCTGGCGCCCAGATCCAAAGGCTCTGGAGCCTTCTGGTCCTGCTCCCTCCATCACTCAGCCATCCTGACCTGGGGCAGCCTTTGCTTTTTAAGCCCCAGCAAGCTGTGCTTAGTTAGGCACTGAGCTCCTTACTATGCATGCCTCTGAGACTGAGCTAGAGCCTGGGCTTCCCTCTCCCTCCAGTGCCTGGCACTGAGCTGGTGTGTGGTCGTGTTTGCAAAATCCTTATTTTTTTGATTGAGCTTTTACCCACATGATGCCGCGTTGCCCAGGGTGAGGGTTCACAGTCAGTGCTGGACAAAACTGTGACAGCAGAGCCTCAGCCTGGGCTCTGTTCTTTCCTGTTCCGGGTCTCTATGGGAATTACCCTCTTTGTGACCACTGTAACCCAGGGCTCATCTATGGCCTGCAGGCGAGGCCTTCATCACCACCTCATGGGACAGTGTCCACTCACTCTCAAATTTGAGGCTCAACTATAGCCCACTATGCCACTGATGGTCACAGGAGAGGCTGTTGGGGGTGGGGCCTGGAGGCCAAGATGGGGACACTCAGGGAGGGGGTGAACTTTCTGGCTCTGCAAAGCCCCTAAGGACCATCATGGAGAAGACCGGGCCACTCTGAAGGACCCATGGAGAGGGATTGTCTGGGTGTCCCAGTTGATGCAATGACTAAAATGCCCCCCTCAGTAGGAGCCTACACTGGGCACCCTTGTCAGAGCCATCCTTCCTCAGCACCAGGCCCAGCCCTGGACACACAGGCAGAGGACTTTGAGGCAGCCCAGATCCAGGATGGGGGATGGGTTTTATGGGGAGAGCAGGTAGCATACTATCCTTCTGCAAATGTGCCCTTCACAGTTTCTGTGTGTGGGGACAACTCGATGAGAGTCAAGAAATAGTCCTATCACCACCAGGAGGCCACATAGAGACTTTCTCAGGGGGATGTTACCAGGGGAGAAGCCTGATCAGTTAGGGGCTGGCCCTGCCTTGGAACAGCTCTCTCCTCCTCTCTAGACCTCATTGTCTCTCCCTGTGAGACGAGGGAGGGGCTCAAGGCTCTGTGAGGCCCCTGGATACCCACTCTAGTGGGCGTGAGGACAAGGATGCTGGGGAAATGGGTGTGTATCGGTGAGGTAGACCAGGAATTTCACACAGAGGTTATACCCCCACCCATCCCTCCAATCTGGCCTTGGAAAAATGTCTGTGCAGGATGTTTTGGAAACATCCAGTCTCCAGATGTCCCCTCAGGGGCCAGCTGATATGGGCGACAGACACTGAGGAGATGGGTGCAGATGCAGGTTTTATTGGTGTCAACTCAGGTAGTACATGGTGCCTGTGGCTTAGCAGGGTGTGAGGGTGAGGAGAACATCTTCTCTCACAGTTTCTTCGCTGCAGAAGTTGTGCCTGTGGAGAAGAAGGAACACTTGTACATGGGTTACATCCTTAGGGTCTAAGTAGCATTTCTGGTTGAGCCATACTAACTTTCTGGGGGAGTTTCCAGCATGGATTTCTACAAACTCCCTCAGGCACAGATACTTACTCTGTCCGCTCTTCTCCCTTCTGCACGGTGATCCTGGCAGCGCCCACTTTGGGGAAGGTTGGGTTTACCACGTTGTTATTCCAGAGGAACTTGACTTTCTCAATTGTTCCAACATCCAGCTCCACATCAAACTCTTTGGAGTGGGTGGAGCCGGGTTTCATAATCCCCCTTGAAATAGAGAAATAAAAACACTGTGTTCATAGAAAGACATTCTAATGACCATCAAAAGGGCAGGCTACTCTTTTCTACTCTAAATTAGTAAGATTACTTTTCCAAATCAATTCCCAAATGAAAGATCAAAAATTGGAAAAAAGCTGGCTATATGTCAGCAGCCTCAAACTATTTATTTTTCCCCCACAAACACAAGTAAACCTCCCTCCAAACTCTCTTAGAGAAAATTATATAATATTCCCAGATTATTTTTCCCTGGAAGAATTATTTGCACTAACAAATTATCCCCCTAATTGAACACAACAAACATATGTTACTAGGCTAATTAGCAAGCATGATATCTAGATTTATTTTGGAAACCTTGGTTCTGTTGAGAAAGAACTAGATATCTGGATTTATAATGGAGATAAGAATTGATAGAAGCATTAAATAAAAAAATTAAACCCCATTGGTAGAGAGATGACAAGCATTGGAAAGCATGGACCTGAAGGCTGCATATCTAAAGTAAGACATAGCACTAAAATGGGAGATTTACTTGAAGACATTGTACTGGTGACTGTTCCCCTTGTTTCCAAACAAAGCAACTTTGACCTGACCGGTGGCTGTCCGTCCAGACAGGGTGACAGTAACACGGTATCGCCAGCCTGCACAGGGGATGGGAAAGAGTTCAGTTCATTCATGCACAAGAGAGTTGGCCCAGACCGTTGACTCAGAGGGCAGCTTGGTCCACGGAGGCGTGTGAGGGTCTCTGTGTGAGTTACAGCTCAATCGAGGCTATAGGGGAAAATAAATAGACCCCCTCTAGATGTCCCTGATCACATTCTAAATGAAATCCAATTAAAATGGCAGCTCCCTTCTCACCAGCCGCCTTCCAAGAGCTGAAATGTCCGTGCAGCGTCCAGTGGCTACCGTGTGGGCCAGCACAGAACATTCCCACCTTTAGAGTTCTGTCGGCGCTCTGCTCTGCAGTGGTGAGGTGCAGAGAGAAGGAACAAGAGCTCATCCCCACATCTGAGAGGTAGCTCAGGAGAGCAGCCAAGGAGCACCAGGGCAGACACATTTCTGCATGTCCAGGGCTCCAGGCAGTGTCCAGCTGAGGGCGGTGTTCACTGAGACTTAGACTCCTTCAAGACCAGCAACCACGAGCACACACACACACACACACACACCTATATACATATAGCACACACATGCGCACACACACTCACATCCACACCCCGCATGCACGCGCACACACTCACACACAGACATGTGCATTTACACACACTCACATGCACATTTCAACCCCTTTCCCCTCTTCACACATCCTTTTCCTAACTCCTACTTGTCTTTCCCGCCCTCAGATATGTCTCCCGGCCCTTCCATGGGCAGGGCCAGGTCCTTTTCCCTGAGGCCACAGCAGCCTCGTGCCTAGCCCCCACACTTGGGGCTGCTCGCTCTGTGCCCATCTTCTCTGCTGGGTTATATGTTTAACTCGGGGTGTCTTATACTTACATGAACACAGGCTCTTTCATAGTGCAAAGTCTCAGGGATTTGTCAGGAGGCATGAAGTGACTTAAACATACTGGGTCTCACCCTCTGTTCTGCTGTGTCAGCCAGCAGATTTTTGAAAGAAATCTCCCCTTTCTGATTCCCACCCACCCTCCACCAGAGAGGCATGCTGCCCCTAACACTAGGGATCCCCCTAACATCAGGGTCAAGATGGAGAAATTGGATTTGGGCTTCTTAAGAGGGTTGTGCCAGCAAATCGCTGGCACAAATAAATGCCTGTTGCATGAATTAGAACAAATCGCTGGCACAAATAAATGTTTGTTGCATATGACACGATTTTAAAAATGAAAAGAACAGTGAACCTTGCAATGGTAGATGGTAATATGCAGGTTAGATAGTCATAGAAACTTGCAAATTGCTATTATCCCATTAACGATGAAACCTGCTTTCACTTGTTTCATGCCAAACAAATAAAATGGAAGGTGAGCAGATGCTTCTAAGTCCCAAATGAATGTGTCCTTTTACTAACAAAATCAAACTGAGCCCACAGATATGTCAGTTTAGAGGCAAGCCCTCATTTGTAACGGAAATTAAATTTTCTTTACTGGGGTGGGAAAGTCACTTACGAGAGAATTTGCTAGAATCTCCTGTGTTCAGGAAGAATTTCTGCTCTTCTCCACTTGTCTTGCCGGCAAATTTATCAGCATAGTGGCCCATCTGGGGGCACCCTTCATCTGGACATGGGAAGCACTTGTCCTAATGAAAACAGATCATCAGATGGTAAGGCGTGAATTTGTCTTTGGTGACCTGCAACGTTTCTCCATGGGACAAGAAAGGGGCTGGAAGAGACAATGGTCACATCATCTTCACCCAGGACTGTCTTCCCCGGCTTGACACACATCACGTTAGAGTTACATGGGGGAGCTTTAGAAGAGACTTACGCCTGGACCTTGGGTTATGATCAGTTACACACTCCATGGACTAATGTGCTGGTGAAGATTAACAGTCCACTCTGGAGCTAAAAGCGCCGGTGGTGGTGTTTACCAATCTCCATGGCATAAATGCTCGATGGTGGCCAGTTTCAGCCTGCCAACATGATGTGGCTGAATATAGGGTTGCAGAGAGAACGTCCGCTGGCTCTAATGAGCCAGAATAGGCAGGGACCCACAGACAGTGTTCGCCTGCCCTCCCAGGCTGATGTACAAGAACCCGAACATGCTCCTGTCCTCCCTGGCATGGGAATGTTCTCCCAGATTCTCCTAGTCTTGCTCTCCCTGCCCTGGTCAGAAAAATACACCCCTTTCATTCTTCTAAACTCTGATTTTTGCAGCCCAATTGACACACTGTCCCCTGCAGGAAGACTTTCTAGATCGTTGAACAGGCTGCCCCTCTCTTACTTCCCAGAATCCTCCTCTCCAGCATCTGGAACTTTAGCCTAGAGTTTCCCCCTCTGCTCCACATGACCCAGACCTCTCAGGAACAATGCAAATTGAGGAAGGAATGGTCAGAAACTGGTGAAAGGGTAACTGCAAAGGTTACACAACTGACCCACCGAGGGACTCAAAACCCGGTAGTGGACATGAGCTTACAGACTCAAAGGCCTTGTAGGAAGCGCAGGGGTAAGCAGTGAAGCCGTTGGGGTTGAGGATGCTCTCCGAGTAGTACTTGTAGCTTCTTAGGTGATTGCAAGCCACAAAGTCCCGGGTTCCTGGGGAAATGAAAGAGGAATTTGCACAGGTGGCCTGGGTCCCAGCAACTTCACCTCTCTCTCCAAGTGGGATGTTTCCAAAATACAGTGGTACTATAGTTTCAGAAATGTAAGGTAAGCCTCAACTCAGCCACGATAATGACAGTTACCATACAGAGTCTGCTTTCCGTGTGCCAGACAATGCTCTATTGTGTTTCTACATCTTCACCTCCCCTAGCAGGTGGGTACCGGAACATCCCTAATCCCATCCAACAATCCATCGGAATCTGTGGGTTACACAGAGGAAGTGGCAGAATTGGGACGGGACCCAAAGCCACCTGGCACTAGAGTTCTTGTCTCTAAATTTTGCTCCATCCTGTGTCCCACACACCTACTCAAGAACCGCTGACAACTTTCTGTCCACCCCCCATCCCCGCCCAGCTCCTGCCCAGGGATAGATGCCACAGTACATCTTGCAGGCTGGCCTGGACTTGTTTGGCGATCCCTCACGGAGCATTTGAGCTACTGTGTCTATGCAAACCCTATGAAAGCCAATACTGTTACGTCCCCATCTTTACTAGGTGTTTTTCTACCTGCCAATCCACCTTGGTCAAATATAATACAAAAGTTTTACTTGCTATATTTGTGAGACCCCTAAGGGTATTAACCCTGGTGGGCAAAGGCTGTCTGGTTGAAAATTCCACCTGTCCAATTTCCTTCTGACCCTACTAAATGCTAGGTCAGCGCTGTCTCAGAAGGAAGCCCTTTCTTACAGGTGTGCTGGTCAATGATAAGCACCAGGGAAGCACAGCATCTCTGACCGTCCCCACCGTGATTGTCTTCATTCCCAACCCACCCAGGAGGGTGGTTCTCGTAGTGCATGTGGCCCTGGACGTGACCGGAACATTCTCATTTTGTCCTTAGAATTGAAGCCAGTTAACAGAAGCTTGAACAGTGTCATTGACTCCCAAGGGATAACTGGCAGAAAAGCTCTCCTAGTTAGTGCTAAGATGTTGACTTTTATGGTACTTTCTCCCATTTGTTAGGTAGTTTCCAACGGATTGTTGAGTTGTAGCTTCAAACAATGGTTTTGTGACCCTAGGTGGCTCAGCACTTCAGGATGCCCAGAGAAGTGCAGAAACCAAGCTGAGCAATGTGAGTGACACAGAACTGGACCTTTACAAATGTTTCTAGAAAGGGCAATGCATATTTTCAAAGTGTTGTGTTTTCATGTTTAAGATTTGCTGTGGGAAATGTGCTGTTCCCTCCAGGGCAGCGACATTTCACCTCTGTGCTCTATTTTTACCTGCCCAGATGCCATCAAGGTCCACAATTTGTGAAAGGATGTTCTTTTTGCATCCAGGCATGGCCTCTCCTCCATTGGGAAAGAAGTCAAGATGACCCATGAGTTGCTTTGTTCCAAAACCTGAAATGTTTAGAACAGCAAAGAGCTTTGTGTAAACAGGGATCTCCTGGTTAAACACAGTCACACATGGTGGTAGACAGAGCATCAAGTCTCACCCATGAATGGGATCAGAGGAGCAGAGTCTGTGTGAATCACATCAACAAAGTCAGCATCGGAAGGATCCAGGCGAACCTCTGTAGAGGTACCCTCAAAACTGGCTTCTACAGGGTCCAACCCTAAAAGAGACAATCAGAGTTACAGAAAAATAGAACTTCAGGTTCCAGTAGGACCAAGATGTCCAGTTGTCTAGTTTGTGCACTGTGAAGTGGCATGGCCCTGGATTTTGGGGGAAGAGGGGAGATAGGCTTTCAATGTTGTGCATTAGAAGAGGATACCAGCACCACATTCTGGGGTTGAAGGGGTATGTTTCCACACATTGGTGATAAAATCTGGGGTCCCGTCTGTCAGGTCTTACCTGTGATTCTGCCCAGGCCTGGAGTCCTGCTCCCGGCCTCTCCAGCCACATGGGCTCCCAGGCTGTGGCCAATAATATGGACTTGGGAAACGGAGTAGTTATAGCTTGTCTGGAGAGGAAAGATTACATTTTCAGGACATTTCTGAGTTGTGTTTGTAACATGCAAATCCAGGGTTACTCCTCTGCTGAAAACCTTCCACAGCTCCCACTGCCCTCATGCTCAAACCCAAACTCAGAGGTTCAGAGCTTTCCTCACTCAACACCTGTTTTTCTAGATTGTTCTCTAGTCAAAACTTTTGTTTAACTTTCATCATCTCAAATGTGTCCTATTCTCACCTGAGTCTGCTTTGGGTTCCTCTTCCCATGCTCCTCCACCCCCAAGCACCCGCCCAGTGCACAGGAACTCACCTACCGATCAGCCCCCAATTTAAGTGTCTGTCCCTGGGAGACATCCTTCATCATCACCCCTCCTCCCAATCTGGACTAGCTGCTTCCCGTGTGTGCCCAGAACATGCTGTAATCCCCTCCACCAGAACCCACCAGATCATGCTCTACTGTCATTGCAAGTCTTCACTGGGACCTCAACCCTCCTCTGATTCTACCAGAGCTCCTGACACTGTCTCCCCAAAATAAATGACATAGCGCTGCCGATGCACATGCTGATCTCAGGGATGTTGACCCAAATGCACCTGGTCTTCAACGCCTCTAGTACAAACACCACAGGCTATGAGTTCTGCCCTAGTGCAGAAGTAGCTAGAATCAAGTGGTTCTTTTGTTGGACTCTTTAACTGTAGACAGATAGGACTGGGACCTTTAGCTAGTATAGAAAATAGTCAGGAAGAATTAGTGACTTACTTGAATTGAAAGAACAAATGACTTAAAGAATTCATCAGAATGAAAGAACATGGTTGAATGGAACAGCTCAATTGACTGTGGCAAAAGCAATTCTCCAGTTTCAACAGGATCACATCCTTGGGCCTGGGGAGCTGGTACATGCCAACCACACATGTCGCCCTTTGGTTCCATTCAGGGCTCTTGCCAGTGCCATATTTTGCCCCACCTGGAGTCCGTTTGAATCCTAACAATTTTTATATTCCATGGATTTCGTTTAGCAAAGGATGGAAACTGGTTAAACTTTCTGGGGCTGTTTGCCTATCAGCTGAGGATGATAAGAACAGCGCCCACCGCCTAGGTATTAGCTATTGCTGCTTTCTCTTTCACTAACGTCATTACCGAGGGTAAATTTCAGAGCTTAGAAGACCACCAATTCTGTCCATTACGGCTGTAAGTACGTCACTTCCGCTCGCACTTTGCGCAGCGGAGGCCAGGGGGCGCTGCGGGCCTTCCTGCCGCCACTCACCGAGAGCTCGCTGAGCAACTGGGCCACCTGCGCACCCACCACACGCACGTTGTTGGCGGCCTGCGAGTAGGTGGTCTGGGAACCTTTCTTCCAGTCCACGCAGATGCAGTTCACCTCCTCCACCTTGAACATGTTCTGGTGTTGGAGAGATAGCAGCGTGTTAGAAGGGGGACCCAGGGAACCCCATTCCACCAGAGCTCAGAAATGGTTGTGACAGTCGCTGCTGGCTCTTCTGGCTTTTCCTAAGCCGGAGGCTTAGGGCTGAGGTCAATTCCACTTTGTTAGGAATCGTATTGTCCATTAGGGGTCACTCCTCAGGTACATGCAGTGAGAAAAACAAAACATTGTTTAGCGTCTAGTGAGTTCAGTGCTGGCCACTCTGGTTTTGCTTTATCGTTTTTGTGTTTTTGTTTTTGACCAAATTCTTTAGGGTTGCTTGGGGAGGTGGGAATTGCATCTCTGAAGACCAGGGTCTAAGTGTCCTTATGGATTCGACTGCTATGCGTCCTTGCAAACTCTTGACAATGCTGCCCTTGGCTGGTGTTGCCTCCATCCTAGGGCTGTTATCAGGTTTTTAGGTGGGAGGGAGGGATGGACTGTGTATGTGTGCGCACGTGTGTCCTCTCCTGTCCTGACCAACAGCAGCTGTATTATTAATATATATCATCGAGGCACTCTGGACTCTGTCACTTTGTTTACCTGGTCACCTTAGTTCCCATATCTCAGAAAAATGGTCACAGCAACACATCTCAGGCTCTCAGGGATGTGGGGAAGATTTGGACAGAAATGACATCCTCTCTCATTTATAGGAATACAAGATACTATCACTGGAAATGGGGGCAGACAAAACAGCCTTGATCTAATAAAAAACAAAATGGTGGGAAGAAGGCATATGAATGGCCCAGTGGTAACGAATATGGAAAGACTTGCTGTTTCTGAGCTCGAGCCCGCTGTTTGGACTGCATAAAGAGATGGAAATACCGGTGGAAATTGTGGCAGCCCCTGGGGGAGCTGGTCACGTGCTCAGAGGCACCCCTACCTTGCACATATTCACCAGCCAGCTCTCTTCTCCCTTGTCAATGAAGCCATGGATGATGAAGCGGGTCTTTCTGTCTGTTTGAAAATTGGAAGCCTCAATTGTGGATGGGTCAGAGGGCTGGATTGTCTGTAACAAACACAGAAGGCCCACATGACTTTACAGCTCAGCACAAGGGCCTGTCTTTCCCTTCCCATCTCTGTCATAATCTTCCAAAGGTTAACACAAAACCCACCTCTTCCAGGAGGCCCACCCTGAACTCCCTTTCACACCCCCATCTCCCCAAGTCAGGAATCACTACCTTTGCTGGACCAGACCATGGCTCACTGTCTTATGTCTTAGCTTCTATAGGGATCATGGGAAATGGCAAGCTCTTTGCCCTGGGCCAAATCAGTCAAGAGTTTCTGACAAATGTGAGCTATGCATTCATTCAAGTCAACATTTTACTGAAAAACTCTATCCAGGTCTGACTAGATTTGGGGGGCAGCTAGAGGGATGGGGAAGGACCAAACATGGTGGGAGAGCAGGGCGTAGAGATAAGGGGCTCCAGGTGCTTGGGGGAGGGGCACAGCCCCTCACCCAGTTACAGGGACTTTACGGTGAAGGCCTCACTTGAAAGCTGTTTGGGTTCTCGTTGGTGTAGAGCAGAAAGCGGGTGCCGATCTTCTCAGGACTCCAGGGGAGAACTTTCAGGGGCCTGATTGCTGTCCCAGCCCAGGGCTCAGTGTCAGAAAAGCAACCAAGGGAGTCATAGCAAACTTCCTTTCCTGGAGAGAAAGGGAGGCTCTAATCACAACAGCGGTCACTGCTGTCTGGATTGGTCATTCCCTGCCTGGGGACACTCTGGAGACTGCGGATATCCTGCCCCTACCCCACCCACACCCTCCTTACCCTCAACATCTACCCTGTGACGTGGAATCAGTTAAATCTGTGTTCACCTGGACAGGTATTTAATGTTTTACCTAGAAAAGTTTGGCCTGGGCCACCGGGCATGAAGCCAGGCTGTTGGCCAGCAGCAGGCCTTCCTCAAATTGCCTCTTCTCCCAGGAGGCTGTGGGCCCCTCCCACCTCTCTCTAGAACCTGGAAGTTGCATGGAGCCGCTGGCAGCCCCGCCCCGGCTGAGGCTTTCTCTGGCTGCAGGATGTTACATGGAGACCCTACCTGAGGCTCAGGCAAGGTGCTTCTTACCTTTGGCTGCTCCCAGTAGGAAAAGCACAGCGGTCCAGAGGCCCAGCATCTACGATAAATTCAGACATTCTCAGCCTCACTGGTATAACCCAGGCAACGAGTCTCACAGGAGGTTGAGGCTCTCTGCCCGCTCCTCCTTCCTAGCTGGTGGGGACTGGCAAAGGTGACTTACCCTGTGGGATGTTCCAGACATTGCTCCCCTCTGGACCAAGTGCCCAGACTGTTTTTTTTTATACTTGAACCTTATCATTTGGACTCTGCTTCAAGGAAACAGCAGATGATAACAGAACAAGCTGTGTGCACTCAGACTTAATCTATACAAATACACACACATGAAGATTAATAATAGTGGTCAACCTTCCCACAGTCTGTGAAGATGAAAGAATGCTTGATTGAAAGGAGGTGAAAAAAAAGTCCCTAACTTTGTACCTATGTACCTGTGTGTGTAATTAGGAGCTCGGTGAACCCCACTTTCCAATTCTCTGTTGCACTGCCAAATAATTTATGAGCTCCACAAGGACACAGCAGTAAATTCTAATAACGGGGGGGGGTAATTTTTCTTACTCATAATAGGAGGAAATGCCCTCCCCCAAATAACCGAAAGTTACGGGAAGTCTCTCTCTCCCCTTCTCTCTTTCTCCTCATTCTCTCCCTCATCTCTATCTCTATCTCATCTACCTAGATGACAAGGTAACACTTACCATGAGCTGAGGAGACATTCGGCAGCCCCCCAAATAGCCACTGATCACTGCCCCCATTAGCCACCTGTTCCAGTTCTCTATTGTTATCTAATGAACCAACCCCAAAAGTAATTATTTTAAAACACAGCAGTTATTTTCTCACCACACTGTAATTTTGAGCAGCTGGGTTTGGGACCCCTGAAAAGCACGTCACCGGATGCCCGTGCCTTCCACAGTGTGCACACCTGTCTTGGAAGACTCTGTCACAAGTCACCCCGGACATGCATCTGTGAGAAGCCTGGCCAGTTCACACAACAGGCAGATAAGCCTTCACATGGGGCACCATTCCACCCCTCCCAGGTAAACATGCCTCAATGTCAATGTTGACACACCTCGAGAATCACCAAACACTCGGTAGAAGTGAAGGGCATTCCTGTTAAGAAATGGAAAGTACAGCTGCGAAGTGACCATGAACAGCAGCTGGAGGCTTCCGGCTAGGCAGGTGCCGCGAGTTGTCTCTTGGTGGGAGCCTGGTGACATCTGCAGAGGGTACACGGTTTGCTTCCCTCTACAGGTGTGGACACTGAGGCGAGGAAATTGGCTATTAGGTCACCCAGCTGTTGAGCCATGAGTTGGGATTTGAGTGCCGTCTAGACAGAGGGATACAGGAGTTGTTGAATCTTCAGTTACTCCGGGCAGGTTTCCAACGAGGTTTATTGAGTGGCAACTACACAGAATAAGGGAGACTCTTACACAGACCATGAGATGATGGAAAATATATTTCCCCCTAAACTGCCAGACCTGAGCCAGTCGTTGGGCTCTGCTGTCTGCATGCGTGACTGGTGCTAGGGAGTCAAAGGCCTCCATGCTGTCCTTGGCTAGTGCAGTGCTGATGCAGAAGAGGTTCGTGGTACTCTAAGGGTGGATAAAGAGGGCACCGGGGAATCTGATCAGCACCATGGTGCTGTCTTAAGAAGAAACCACTCGGAGCTCACCAGCATTGGTGGTTTAAATGCATTGACAAGGAGCACTTGATGTTCTACAAAAGTAAAAAATGAATCAACCCAAAGGTGCCCTTGTTTCTGATGACAGTTGTGAGGCCAGTGACTAGAGCCGGAGGCTGACCCATGGCTGTGAAAACCCTCTGACAGTCATCCTGTTTCCCTGAACCTCAGGCTTCCCTGCAGATGCCACACACATCTAGTGATGCGTGGATTGTGACAATGGTCACCCTGACCCCCAGTTCAGACCCTTGGCAATGTGATCTTGCAGTATTGTTCATCAACGACTGAAAACTGTGTCCCCACCAAGTGGACTGTGACTTCGTTGGGTCATTACCTGTGATGGTAGCAACACCTTGGACCACCTCAGAGTCAGCCAACCCCAAGGATCTGAGAGACCCAGATACGAATAGTCATTCTATGGGCACAACCTGTTCCAGTCACAGACACAGGAGAGTCTGTGCTACGATCAGAAGCAGCACCCCACCAACCTGGAGATGTGTGAACACCGACTATGCCTTCTGTTGAAAGCCCTCAGTGTGGTGATGGTTTGTTACACAGCAGTAGCTAGAGACAGGAATTCAGTTCAGTCAGGCCTGAACTGGGATTGAGAGGCAGTTGCTACCTTTGCACTCAGGTCACCATTCCTGAACATACAACATGATTCTTCCCTAAAACAGTGAGGAAACCCTTTGTGTATCACTATCCTCGATAGCCATTACATGCCTTGGGGAGGCCCTCCCTGGTGGTGCAACGGGGTAAGTCACAAAACTATGAAGCTGTCTGCAGACACTGCAGCAGACACTGCAGCAGACAGCAGTTTGATCCCTGGCCAGGGAGGTGCTCCACAGGGCGCAGCAGACCTCTCCTGTCTCCCTGCTGCTTCCCTCAGCAGTGTATTTCAGTCTGCCTGTTCTGCTCCCCACTCTGTCTCTGGTGAATCCTCTCATCCCTGCACCTTTAACCCATACCCAGTTCTTGTGTACCTAAATAAATAAATCTTTTAAAAAATGCCTTGGGGGAATTAATCAGATTAAACTCCTAGGAAGGCCTGAATCTAAGCTGCTTTCCTTTGAAGCCTCTTAGGTCAATGAATTAATTTTATACCCAGAGGAAGGATTTCTAAATGAGGCTTGTAGACAACAGCTACAATATATTGTAGGTACAATATGAAATATGTTGAAAGAACTAAATCCTGACAGCTTAAGGGACTGAAGACAAGATTCAAAGGCAAATAACTCTGGGGCTCTTTTGAAATGAAGACTTTATTTCCACCAGCTGGTTCTCTTGTCCTGAATGTCACAAAGGTAAAGAATGAGGTTGCCGGTTATCGTGTGCCATGTTCACAGATCCAGGTAGAAGAGCTCATAGCTGCTTCCCTCCAGCCAATCAGCAGTCTCCTTTCCTCCTCCAATTTCCAGTTCAGAGTAGACAGATAGCTTGGCATCTCATCAAAGAACAATCTTGAGACTTCAGGGGGAATATAGGGTTGTTTCCAAGTGAGTTCTTAATTTATTCCAAAGATGTGTTTTCGTCTTGAAAACCTACTTCCCAATGGCCGTAAATGGCCATCCTTCAGTCAGGAGGGAGCCAGCCTTGGCATAAAGGCATCACTGTACATGACAGACCAAAGAGGTTATTGGATGCTGGGCTAATAAACCTGAAGCCTCCTCCACTCAGGGCTTTCCAATCACATGAGCCAGTACATTTCCTTGTTGTTTAAGCCAGTTTGAGTTAGGGATTTTCATGGATGCAAGTGAAAGCATCTTAATTGCTGTATTAACTAGGTATTAATGAGAGTGATTCTTGGAACAACAATGTGATATACTTTGGTGAACCATGGAATGAAAAGTTTCACACCTCTCTCCTTTGTCTATGTTATTCTCTCTCTGGAGTGCCCTCTCGCCATGTCCTCCTGGCAAATCCCTTTCCACCTTTTAAGACATAGTACAGATGTTTCTTTATTTTTTAGGATTTTATTGATTTCATATGGTCTATTTTTAAATACTGGCTCTAGTGGATTCATTCATTTTTCCCCCAATAGTGAGATGGTCATTCAGGAAATATTTATTTGGTCTTTTACTCCAAGCCTGGCCTGTGTCAGTAACAGAAGTCATGCAATCCCTGACAGAGTTTACAAATGTTATCTAAAGACAAGCAAACAGTACTTATAACAAGTCGGTGCTGAGATGGTAAAAGTCCTGGGTGCAGTGGCAATGTAGAAGAGTAGCCTCTAATCTTGTCTTAGAGAGGATGGGTGGTAGAGCTGAAGAAATGTAGAGCCTCGTCACCTGGAGGGACCTCATTTTGGACCTTTCAGTCTGCTTTAGTGATCTGACTAAATTGTGATGGTAATAAATTGTAATAGTAATGATTGCAATGGGCAGGCTGCCCCTATCAAATAAATAATACCCATCTGCTCAAATGCTACATGATATGTAGAAAAATCCAACATTTGTGGATTCTTCAATAATTTGGGGTTCTTAAGGCAATTCCAGGTTTTGGATTTTGATCACCTTATTCAAAAGATTTATTGGAAATATTGGACATGACAACAGAGGATCTATTGCTTCAAAGCTTAAGTTTATTAGCTTGAAGAATCAATGACTTCACATCAACAGCTCCTAGCATGGGGTGAGGGTGAGCAGAACATCCTCCCTCACAGTTTCCAGGCTACAGAAGTTGAACCTGTAGAGAGAAGACAACACAGAGTCAGCTCTTCTGGAGCATGGCTGGTGAGGTGGACTAGCACCCAGTTTTCAGTCCGAACCTGGAACCCCCAACCCAGAAGTTGGCTAAGGGACAACCTCTTATCTAAAAAATACTGGATTCCGCTGTCCAATTTTATTTCATGGCTATGCATGGCAGAAAGATGAAGTGTCATTTGCTACCCAAAGGACAGGGAGAGCAAGTCTGTTACATCATAAGAACACTTACTAAATGTGGCATGTTGTCCACCAGTGATACCAAGGAAGTAGAATCAGCCAAGTGAAGTAAAATCAGCCAGAGTAAAAACCCTGAGGTCCTACTGCTATTTTGGCTGGGCATTCTTATTTTAATCCAGCAATTGAATTTTCTGGATTCTTAGCACTGGTTTCTTAATTCAAGAAGTTCATTGGGCTTTATCTGAATATCTCCTACTTCTAAGACACTTTGGAAAATCTCAAAGCAGTAAGCCAGAGCAACTTCCAGGCTCCACTTTATTTATCTCTTTTCTCTTAGAGCTCACTTCCCTTTGTCGCCTGGTGTTCAGGTTCTTGAAAACTGTTGTCTCACATATTTTGCCTATATTTTGTTCAGCTGGGAAAATAAATATGACTTCTGTTACTACACTTTTTCTAGAATCAAAAGTCCCCTCATTGGGCTTTAATGACGACTCAATGACTTGATGACAGAATTTGGCATTTATACAAAACTCTTAAGCTAATATTGGTGTTGTTATGATTATTATCTCAGCTACTTTTCCTGGTAGTTCATCAACATCAATATCCTTTGGCTGACATGTACTTTAGTATTGGCTAGAATGAAAAGTTGACTTCATTAAAGTCAATGATACAGAAGAGACTAGTTCTATTCCTTGAGTTAAATGTTTTCCTGGCAATTTAAGTCACAAGTTGGTGAACCCAAGAATTTAGAGCAAATAGACATATTAAACACAAACATAGCACAAAGCATAGCTGCTAAACAGAATCCTTTTTTTTTTTAATTTAGGGTTATGAAGTCAGATTTTCATCTTGACTTGTATCAGGTAACACAACATTCATCTACAAATCTATCAAAGTTGTTTTCCTAAAGCTATATACTTTCTCCTAAAGAAACAAAGTATTAGAAGCAGCTGTGACTGGGGTGTAGGAGAACCACAGTGGGAGATTCAATTTAAAGTAGACTTTCACTGGGAATAGAATTATAAATGTGACTCAATACTTCAGACTTCTCTGGACTTCTATTACTTACAATTTCCCATCATTTCTTTCCACTGTGATCTTGGATGCTCCCACTCTGGGTAGAGTTGGGTTGATAACTTTGTTGTACCAGATAAATTTAACTTTTTGCACATCTCCAACATCTATGTCTGAGTCAAATTCACTGGAATGAGTATTGCCTGGACGGAGAGTGCCCCTGGAGGATGAAAAGTTGATAGAATCATACCTGAACACACAGAAATATACATGTAGATATGTACATGCATGCTTCTAATCCAGCTTCTACTGTATCTAAAGTAAGTTGATTGATAGTACATTTGTCATTCTACTGTGCTAAACAAGTACAAATATCTTTGCTAACTCAGTGGTAGGTAGTTCGTTTGTCATCAATAACTCCTACTACTTTAATGTTATCCTTATTTTAATAAAACTTCAAACTTATTTTAGTCATAAACCTACCACAATTTAATAAGCATTAGGTATTACTATATCATCCTTCCTCTGTTGTTTAATGGGCAGGATAATTATTTGCTGATTATAAATCAGACGGTATGCATCAAAGTGAACAAGAGTGGCTTTCTTGGAAGATAGTATAGGAAAAAATTCTGAATTCTGAAATGTATTAGGGTACAAGGGTGAAACAATCTTTCCTTTTTAATGAGAAAAGGAAAGTACTGTACTTCCATGTGGTGGTGAAGAAACTCTATGATCATAACATACATTCTAGAAATAATCAGTTTTTTAAAATTTATTATTTTATTATTCTCTGATTTTATTTTTTAAATTTTTGGGTAGAAGAACTGGAGTGTAGGCCAGAAGCATGTATGGGCGATGAGAGGATTCACCAGAGACAGAGAGGGTTGCAGAACAGGCCGACTGACTGAAATCCCCTGCTGAGGGGAGGAGCAGAAGATAGGAGGTGTCTGCTGCACCATGTGGGTCACGCCCTGTGAACTCATACTGTGACATGAGGGTACTGGGACTTAACCTCTAGTCTTCCAGGGTGGCCAAGTAACAAGTTTTATAAAAGAAAGTTAGGGTAATATTTTACTCACTTGAAAATTTCATACTGCTTAGAGTTCCCTTCACTTCCAAACAAAGACACCAGCACATGCCCAGTGACCTTCTTTCCAGATAGCGTGAAAGTCACCTTGTATCTCCAGCCTGCAAGGGGGAGGTATTTACAAAATGTCAGCTCACAGAGACGAGGCACTGAAAACAGGTTAACATGGCATCCATTACTGCTGAATTTTGGATAATTTATAGATGGTATTTGTGCTTCTTCTAACCAAACAGTCAGAGATATTCCTTTATCCAAATGCTCAGAGGACAGACATTGGGGGAGGAGAAGAGCAAGACTCCTGTCAAAGTCAATAGACTTGGAGCCAAGGGATTAAGTCATTTATTGTTTGAAATTTTAACCTAGCAATTTACTTTTGAATGTTAAAAATTAGCAAAATAGTACAGTGTGACATTGCTGATGTCACCCTACTTGAATACTATCACCTTTTGTCTAAATCCTCTCTTTATTTTTAAAATCCTATAATTCAAATTTCCATGGCCATTGGAAAAGTGCTAACCAGTTTATGGTAACCAGTTTATGATACTGGTCAATAGTGAACCACCAGTTTTTGCCCTTTAGAGCTAATTTGGGCTGAGTTTGGGAGAGGAAAAAAATGGGCTCTAGTTCTCGCAGGCAGCTAACTCTACTCACTCCCACCTAGAAGTTTCTTCCTTTGTTACCCAGGGGAACAGGGTGTGTAACCTCATAGCTCACCCTCCCTGCAGCCTCTACTTCTGCTGGCCCACAGCGTCCACAATCCTAAGTAGTGCTTCTTAAATCTGTCAGAGCCTTCCCATTCCCACAACTTCTGCTACCTCGATCCTGGATTACTTTTCTACTTGGACAAAATTTCAGAATTTTGAGCAATGAGAATTTTTACTGAATAAGAAGACGGAAACAGAAGCTGCCTGGAGCTTTCGAGCTCAGTGCCAGTGTGGAATGCAAAGGGTTCATTCTTGTATCACTAATAGTTTAGTTGCCAAATTCCTAAAGGGCAAGGAGTTACACGGAACACATTTTCACTTCACTGGACATGATAAAATAAACAGTATTAATGCAAATAAAATAGAGACTTACGGGCGAAACTCTTGCTATCACCAGTGTTCAGATAAAATTTCCGGCCAATCTCATTTGTTCTCCCAGGGAATCTGTCAGCGTAATGACCCATCTGGGGGCAGCCTCCATTTGGACAGGGGAAGCACTTGTTCTGGAGAAAGTAAAAAAATAATGAAGGAGGATGTTCTTATGACTGCGGAGCAACTTCTGTATGTGTTGCTGTGAATCAGATAGGCCTAACAAAAGCCAATTCTGTTCTGATGATCAAAAAGTACTTTAATAGATAGAGTCTCAGCAGAGGTCAAAAAGGTACTTTATCATTACATTAATTAACCAGTAATTTCACTGTTAAATAGTACAGTACAAAAAAAAATTAAAAGATTATATATATAATTTATATATATATCTTATATGTATATAAGATATGTGCTTATATAACCATATCTCACTCTATATATTAATTAATCTCTTTTTTTTTACCTTTCTAAATTGCTATAGTTACCCCCAAACACCTATCTGTCAAGGGGTAGTTAAAATTTATTTCAGAAAGACTACAAAAGATGAGGTGGTAATCAGCTTCTGATATGCAAAACATGAACCATTAGGAAGGGTCAAAGTTCAGATTTTTCTTAATCCCTTTAGCTCCCACTTAGCATATCACCACTGGAAGGATTCAGATCTCAGAATTCTGCCCATGTGGAGAGAAAATGCCCCAGCTGGCACTAAGGGTCAACCATGAAGTTGGGGTTTGAAGAAGACAGATAGAGAAAAATGTCCTCTTTTTCTCTGGGTCAAGGGATTGTGGGAAAGAGAAGGAGAGGGAGGAGCAGAACAGGAAGGACAAAGCCCACAGTTCCTACCATCCAGGGGCAAGACTGCCCCACAGTCCAGGCAGAGGTGGACTTCTTGGGTCAGGGGCCATATGGGGACCAGCAGACTCAGGGTCTGCATCCAGCCAAAGCTGAGGGGTACCTAGGCCAGTTAGGAAGCGTGGCCTAGACACACGCGCTTATTGCTGGAGTTCTAAGTGCCGACACGCTCAGAACCCACTGCAGATGCCAGTGGGGTTGATATCTATGAGGCGAACCCGCAAATCCCCCCTTCTGCTCCACACACACATCAACCACCATCACCACACTCACCTTGCCCAATACCAGCTTGGAGACAAGCTAAGGGGGAGGGGGGAAAGAGGCAGGGAGGGTGAGAAGTCCAAAGGCTGAGGAATCTACAAAGCTGAGACTCTTGTAATAGTATGTAGAAATGGTTGTGTAATCATGGAATTACAATCGATAAATGCAATGTGCAAAATGGAGGCCGTGGGGAGTGGGGAGTGTACCCAGTGCACCCACATCTGGCCACTGGGGGTTTTGGATTCACAATTGCCTAGAGCAACTCAACAAACAAGCGTCCTGACACCCAGAGGCAGAGTCTAGAAAGAGCAACAAGCCTTCTGGAAAAGCTGATAGGCACTTCCGGTATCACCTTCGAAGAGGTCAGTCCTGTGTCCGCACTAACCAGTGCAGTGTGCAGGCAGCCTCCTTTTCCCTCCCCATCAGAGAATGTTACTAATTTACCTCATATGAGGCAACCCCGCCTGTACAATTTTTGGATATTTTCCAACTCAGGTCTTCCTACATTTCCCAAAGACCTCAAATAAGATTTGTTTCCATTCCCTGACACAGTTCTGACTCACATGTGAGCTAACTTCTAGCAATGTCTGAGCATCCCCCACAATGCCTTATCAGTATCAAAATAACCACACATGACCTAAAGCATCCAGTGTGGTAGTTAGAGAATGATACTCACTGAACGCACGTCAGGTGCAGTGAACCCCAGCAGGTATGAAAAGCAATCTTTAGTTCAAGTGGAAGTTACTTACTGCATTGAAAACACTGTAAGAGGCACAGGCATATCCAGCAAAGCCATCAGGGTGGAGGATGCTGTCAGCATAATACTTGTAGCTTCTTAAGTGATTACAGGCCACAAAGTCACGCGTCCCTTTGAAATCACACATGATGTGATTTTATTTTTCCAAATTAATGTCATAATCGAATGTACTTAATGAATTGTTTTCTCTCATTAGTGCTACTAACTCATGGCAGTCCAAATCAAAATCAGGTAGGAAGCATATTTATGATTTACGATACAGACAGAAGTTAGCTCCTGTTTAGATGATGGTAGCGGCACCATTGCTGAATCAAGTGGAAAGGTAGCTTCAGAAAGAAGAGGTGGGTCTGTCGGGATGTAAGTATAACTGAACAATGCTTTCCCAAATTGATACTGGGGAAGTTGACTGACTAGAAAACATTGTTTCCCTGCCATCTCAGAGCCCACTTCTCCCTATCTCCCAGGGATTCAATCAAAAGTCCTTTATGTAGATGATACCTGATACCTACGTATTTAGCAAATTTAGCAAAACAAAGCACAAACTGTCCCTCCACAAAAGCTCTTCATGCATACAATGGCTTTACCTTCCCAGATCCCATTGATGTCCACAATCTGAGAGAGGATGTTCTTCTTACATCCAGGCATTTCCAACCCACCATTTGGAAAGAAATCCAGGTGGCCTGCAGTCTGGCTCATTCCAAACCCTGAGAAATGTTAACATACGAGAGAGGTGAGGGTCCTGTGTAGAATGAAAACACTAGCGAATGGACTTAAACGCTTTAGGAGAAAGACGGAAGCACTCACCCAAGTTGGGGATGATGGGGGCAGCGTCTGTGTGAATTACATCCACAAACTGGGCGTCGCTGGGGTCCAGGCGGACTAACTCAGGGGTACCCTCAAAGCAAGGCTCAGCTGGATCCAGGCCTGGAGTAAAGGGCACACAGCGTGTAAGCATCTGTGCATTCCCCTTCTCTGTCAGTTACTGAGTGACAGCCGTGGCATGAGTCAAGGAGATATGCTTGTTCTTGCCCCTCTCACCTCTGGGACATCAGTGTTTAATTTACTATTTGCTTTAAAATGAATTTTCCTCACACTATAGATTTGGGCTCCAAACGGATGCTTAGTTACCTAAACAATCCTGCTCACTAGCAGCAGTTACAAGGAAAGAGCCAGACTCGGGGAGATGCTGGGCTCCTAACAGCTGTTGAGGTACAAGATTGTAAACTTAGGTGAGGGGTCCTGGTCCTGGGGCCACACTCCACACAGGGCTGACTGAACAGGTTCTCTGAAACACTAACAATTGAGGGGAAAGTATATTCCTGCTAGAAAATTAACAGTACGCCTTCTGAAAGCAATCCAAACGTAACTAACTTATTCAAAATATGGAAAGAATTAGGAGATTGGAGACAGGGAGAGAAAGGGAGTATCCCCTCAGATATGGAAAAATATTTCTAAAAATCAACAGGACTTGCATTTCCTCTTTGGAGAACTGACTTTTTAGCTCTTCTGCCCATTTTTTGACTAGGTTGTTTGTTTTTGTTAGGTGTTATCAGCTCTTGGTAGATCTTTGGGATTAGTCCATAATCATTAGTATTGTGCCCTAAAATTTTCTCCTCATCAATAGGGTGTCTGTTTTGGTTAGTGTCTCTTTGCTGTACAGAAGCTCTTTAACTTGATGTCATCCCAACTGTTGATCTTTTCCTTTACTCTGTTTGCTTTTGGGGATGTGTCTTTGAAGATATTACTGAGGTGTGGTCATTTAGTGTTTCACCTTTATTTTCTTCTATATATTTAAAGGTTTCAGGGCTTATGTCTAGTTTTTTAATCCTTTGCATAAAAATGAAGAATGGCGTAAAAATATATAAAATAATTTAAAAATAAATAAATAAATAAATATATTTTAAAAACAAAAAAGTCACAAGATTATTTCAGGACTTGCTGTCTAATTTATCCCATTGACTAAATGCAACCAACAGAGACTTGTAAAAGAATAGTTTCTAATCTAAACAGCAGCATGCAGGTGGCCAGTTCAGGACAGTCACCACCTGCTGTCCACACCTCCAAGGCCAGGGTTCTGGTTTGCTAGTTATTGATTGCTATTGAGCAGAATAGAAGTAATCACACCTCTTTGAATTTAATTCCATTTCTTATTTATCTTATTTTTTATGATTTCATCTACTTCTGAAGCCTGTCCTATGTGAATGGACAAAGGGAAACAGGTATGAATAAGATGGCATCCAGATGTCCTGAATTCACATTTTGGTCCCATGCAACATTTGTATGAGAGAAAAATGTTGTAGGTTGAAGATCAGTGATGACAAAATACTCCATGAGGCCTCAGAAGGCATTGATTTAATTTGAGATCCGGTGGTCCAATTAGAAAAGTGTGAACACCTGTCTCCTCAGGTAAAGGCTACCTTAGATACCAGGTTTCTGACAGTTGGTTCATTTTTGCAACTTTTACTGTTTTAACCTACCTGTGATCCGTCCAACGGTCCCATTGGTCCTCCGTCCTGCCTCTCCAGCAGCGTGGGAGCCCAGGCTATGGCCGATGATGTGGACATTGGAAGGTGAGTACCCAAATGATGACTGTTAGAGAAGAGATATCTTCAGAATATTTTCAACATTGCAAAATTCCAGATGGGCACACAGGGGAACATCTGAAAATGTGTTAAGAAAACATAGTCCCCTCCTAAAAGCAATTGGTTTTGATGGGTTTTTTTCACAATTATAATAGACAACAGAAATGCACTATATTTAAGCCTATGGAGGTAGTTTCTTTTTTGTTGTTTTATTTTGTTGGGAGAGCCCACAAAGGATGTAAAGAATTGCTATCAGAGAAGAGGAAGCAAATCTTTGGGGGAGCCAGAAATAATGGAAGCAATGACTCTAGTCCATTCAAGTTTAATATTTTCTGTATTTTTACCCAAATCAGGTTAGCTCATTATCATTGTACTTCTCTTAAAAGTAAAAGCAAAAATATATTTGTTTATTGAACGATGTTATCATATTAGCTTTGTTTAATAACTGGAAAACTTAAGAGAAATATTGGGGGAATTCAGTGGAAGCACCCTACCCAGTTGCTTGAGGTATGGCACCTTAAAGAAAAAAAGTACTTTCTTGATAAAAAAATTGGTCTATAATAGCTTCATATTAACTGTTTTTTTTTTTTTTAATTTTCCTTTTCAAACAAGGGGAAAGCCAAATCTCAGCAGAGAAATGTCTTTATCAATGATTAGCCCTGCAATGTTTTATCTTGATGGGTGGGGGAGAGAATTTAGAGAGTAGAGTGCATAGGCTTTATGAAATCCCAGTCTTTACCTGAAGAGTGTCAATAAAATAAGCCACTTCTGCCCCTACAACTCGGATGTTCTGTGAGGCCTGGGTGTAGGCGGTTCGGGACCCACTTTTCCAGTCCACGCAGATGCAGTTCACACTTTCCACCTGGAACATGTTCTGGTGGAAGAAACAATACAGGCAGGTCATTCCAGGTCTTGACTCATTACGAACACTGGATGACTAGGAAACACGTCTTCCTAGACCCAAACAATCTCTCCAAAGTAGCAGCCACGAGTAATCATTCTAGTCTGATGTTGATACAAAATGAAGGCGTGACCGCAGAGAACACGGGATACTTGAGATTTCTACTATAATAGATGCTTAGACGCTTGTTTCAGGGGAAATGTAGATAATGTGGTCCAAGGATTGTGCTAATGTCACAGGACTGTCCTGTCTCACAGGAATGTCCCCGCACCCCACCAGCCTTGTTCACAACTCTGCCTGAAGCATCTCCAGTAGCTTCTGGCACGTGGTTGGTGTTCAATACCTGTTTACTGAATGATTCATAACTGAGTAAATGTAAAACTATGTCACCACCCCTTAAATAAATATTTTGAAGGTAAAGGAGGAAGCTTTTCCATGATGGAAACACTAATTAAAGTTTCTGATGAACATGTTTTATTGTACATCATACGAAAGTCATAAAAGTTTATCTTATAAGGTATCTATTGAGGATCAGTATAGAATGTAACTTCATGAACATTAAATCTTTCAGGAATTTTGCCCATTTGAGTGTCTTTTTTTTTTTAATTGAAGGAAAATGAAGTAAGCTTAGAAATCATCTTAACTCTTTCATTTTATACAGAGAAACATAGAGAGGGGAAACAATTTGCTAATGTCATGGTTCGCTAAGTGTAGAGTCAGAATTAGAATCCAGGACCTTTAACTTTCTAGTTTAATCACTTCTCCAACGGTATTGTTAAAACCAAATCCAGTGCAAGAAAAACACATGTGCTTTGGGGGGCCCAGAATTAAATTGTGTATATATATCTAAAACCTACCTTCTTTTTGAACTAAGAAAAACTTACTTTAATTAGAAATTTTATATAAAAATTTACTACTATTCTGATCTCCATCACTGATTTTTTAAAGGACATGTTATGGTCTTACTAATTCCTTCTAAACTCATTTAAGCTGTCTTCAAGATCTGTGGATGATATACAGAGTCAGTTCAGCCTTGGATTGAACATAAGCAGGTCTGAAATGATACAGGTTTAGGACAACCTTTTTTTTTTTTTTCTTGAGAATTCTGATGACCACGCCTTGTGCCGCAGCTGGCCCTAGAGGCTTAATGGATAAATGAATTCATGATAAGTTTCCTCAAGCACTACCAGTTACTGGAAAAATTTGTTCTGCTTGATTTTATGCCTTTTAACTCTTGAGTATCACAGGGCACAAAGCCAAAGGCAAATAAAAAAAAAATAGGTCACTAATGTTGAAACAGCATAAGCTGGAAATGAAACCCTACATTGTTGTTCCTAGCTAATGCTGCCATAGGCCACCAGAGAATAACAAGTGAAAAAAATCACAAAAAAATACTTAGATTGGGCAAAATGAGTTGCGTTAGCTCTTTATGTGGAAATAACCAGGTAAGGGAAAAAATGAGAGCCAAAATGCAACTAACATTTCATCAACATAGCAACATCTGTTGTCAAACTTTTGAGCTATCTCTGCATTGGTTATTAAATAATCACTACTCAGAGCCACCAAATACCTGTTTCAGGACCCTTCCATATCTTGCAACCTCCTGGCCTCCCTGGGAACTCCAAGCCCTGCAGAGTTAGATGATCCCAAGTATCATGTCCTGTGTGAATGGAGCCTGTACCTTCTTCATTGTTAATTACTTTTCCAGGAACAACTTTCCCCAAGAGATTACCAAGTCTCACCTTGCACATGTCAGACAGCCAGCTTTCTTCTCCCTTGTCTATGAATCCATGAATAATGAAGCGGGTTTTTCTATCAGTTTTGAAGTTGGAGGCTGAGATAGTTGATGGATCAGCAATGAGTTCCTATTTGGGGGAGAGAAGTATGTCATGACAAGTTTCCTACAGTATCCAATAGAACAGTTTATATGTGGAGAGGGGACAGGCCAGGAAAGCTGTGTGACTCAGGGTCCTTGTGAATAGATTCTTCTATCACAGCCAAGGTATTCCAGTCATTACTGTCACCACATCCTAGAAATCACATTGTTTTTGTTCAATCTCGGATAGTACAACTACTATAATATTGGCCTTGTATCCACACAGTTGAAGGTCTGTGTGTCAAATATGTTATATTACATATACATATACAGTATGTTGGGAAATTATATATAATACCAGGAGATACTATAAATACATATGTGTATACATTATGTCTATATACACAACATAATATTTGTTGAATGGTACCATAAAGGTAAGGTAAGAATATCAAGTTAATGGACCTTTTATAAATAAATTATCTTAAATAATACTTAAGCTCATTGCTTCAACATTTCCAAAGATACAACTGCCACTGCTTGATTTGTTCCCTTTTGAAGACTTCAAGTTCAGGATCTTTAGCACATAAAACAGAACTTAGTTCTGAAAAACGATGGTCGCTCTTACTTGAAAGTTATCTGGGTTCTCATTAGTGTACAGGAGGAGGCGGGTGTTGACATCTTTTGGAGCCCAGGGCAGAACTTTGAGGGGTCTTTCTGCAATTCCTGCCCATGGGAAATCATCGCTGAAGCAGCCGAGTCTTGTGAAGCACACCTCCTTTCCTGCAATCGCCCAGAGCATTTCAAGGACATTAGTTTAACCAGAATGTGCTGTTAAATAGTCTGTCTGCCAGGGTGAGTTAAGCTGCAGTGTGTGGCATATTTTCTTCCTCCACCTGCTCAAACACCTTCCCTCTACACTCACAAAACAGCTTCCATGTCCCTTAAAGATAGGCTGTTGCCCCCATTTCCATTCCTAGGATGACTTGGCTCCCCTCCTCTCTCTGGACAGTTTGTGTGTTGGGGACCACTTAGTCCCTCTCCTGATACATCCTCCTTGGGCCACTCAAGGAAGCCTTGATACTCAAGAAAGTGGTACCCACATGTCACCAGGGCTTGGGAAAGGAGCAGCTCTTATGATCAGCTTTGGCTGGAGAGCTTACATTTTATGTGAATTCCCAAGCTTTGTGTCTCCATCTCACGAAGTGTTTAGGTCTCTGATCTATGTTTGCGGGACATCCTGGGTTCCCATGAAGAAAAGGATGCTTACCAATAATTGCAGAAAATCCATGGTCTGACAACTCTATGGTGTGACTGTTACCCCACATAAAAACAACACAGAGGTAGGTTTTGCAGGAAGATAATGCCTAGATTAGTAGTGGGAGTTGACGTAATAGCTGTTGTGGAAGATGCTTTTCTTGAAATCTTGCTGTATATCAGGGACTGGGCAAGGTGATGGGCAGGACTTATCTTACCTAAGTCTCACAATCAGTCTGTGAGATGAATGGCTTTATGCCCATTTTACAGATAAGAGAGGTTAAGAATTTTGCTCAGGGTAATTAATATAGCTGCAGGTGATGGAACAGGGTTTAAACCTCACACCTGACACCAAATTAGGTTTGCTAGATTTAGCCAATAAAAACAAAGTTAAATTTGAGTTCTGATAAGCAATGAATAATTTCAGTGTATATATATATATATATCATTGTCATTGTTTATCTGAAATATTTTTCTCAAACCCAGTTGAACTGGCCATCTTAGATTTTGCTTGGCAACCCTACTGCAAGCACTTGTATGCTTTATCA